ATTGATACGTACATTTTCTGTATTTCTTTTCCATATTCCATGCACTCACACCTAGAGTTCTATTTTGTTTTATATGAGAAAACATATTTACATATAATTGGCTATAAAATATATTATTTCTTTTAGATACCCTAAATTATCATTATGTCATTTAAATTAGTATGGATAAATTAGTTTGGCTTGTTTAATATAGTTCTAAAAGTATTGGTAAATCTAGTGTAACCTTAGTACTTAGTGTAAAGTTGTGTAGCAATAACTTTCCTTTTAAAGTGAGTTACATGCTAAAACCCTTAATAATATTCTTGGGTGCATCAAATCACTATGAAAATAAATCCTATATATAATTATAATATAAAACTATTTCCAATAGAATTTGAAAAATTAATAAACTTTTTAGAAAAGTTCACCACATATAAATTAACAAATCCAAGATACTTGCTATTGGAAAGAATTCCTTGACCAACTAATAATTAAGTAAATCTAAATAATTTCACCATATCTAGTAAATTTCTTATCTATACATTATTGTAAATTAACATAATCTTTCATGAGCAGCTTTATAAACTTGATGTTGCCAAACACAAAAATAGTCCTGTATTGTAGAAGTCAAAGAAGCTTAATCACTATGTTCTTCATATCTTATTATAAGATATCATATAGCTAGATTTGAAGAGGATTGTACATAAATTTATAAGTATTTTCCTTGTTGAATTTTACTTGAGAGTTGTTAACAGTTTTTGTTTTAAGAATTACAGTACAATTATTTTTTTATATTTATAATTTTGAATAAAACCATGATCTTTATAATAACTAGTAAAGCAATACTTCTCATAAACTTGGTATTAAATTGGTAAACTGTATAATCTATCCTTTGATTGTGAGTATACTTTTTCTCCAACTAAAGACTAGCTTTTATATTGGTATGGAACACCTTATCAGATTTATTTGTCAAATAAAATAATTACATGTTAAAATAATGATTTACTTACCAACTTTCTCCTTCTAGTCATCTTAAAATACTTGATAAAAGCTTTTTCATCTTGAAAATCTATCTTAAAATGTTCAATAAGTTGTTTAAATTCAATTTGCATAATATTACCATTATAAAAAGCTGTGTGAATCAAATAATACATAATATCTCCAAAAAAAAGTCCATAAAGTGGCTCAAGGTTTCACCTTATAAATAATATGCTTGAGCTAGTCCCTTTTCTACTTTTACATATTCTTATTTCTTTACAAATTAGGCCTTCAGAATGTTGGCACCATGGCAATCATTGGTTACTAGGGCTTTGTCAATGTAACAGAGTTGGCTCCATTAGGGTTCTACTTGATTGTTGGGGCAACTAATAAGGATCACTTTTATTGTTATGTATAAATTGTTGTATGAAAGATAATGTCCATACCAGTTCTAGCAATTGTAGATTGTAACTAATAGTGAGAATAGCACTTATGATAGTAAATAGCACTAGTAGTGTAGAGATCAACAATGAGGACAAGATAGATATTCCTTTATTTGCAATTTGGAACGAATTAGAATCATAAAAAAGATATGATAGTGAAGTTTGTTTGACATTATCTTCTTTGTGATTGCAATTTAAAGCAAATAAGCCATGCATTAGGCACCACCCAATAATACTTCTAGACATTGCACCAATTTGGTTGGCATAAAGTTTATGTTCACAACAAATTGTAGCAAAGCTTCAAGAGCTGATCCCATTAGAGTCTAGAATATGTATAAATCATTAATAAGTTTGTTTTAAAGTCTTCACCAAGAAAGACTATGAGACATTTATCTTTGTCAACCTAAAAGGCTATGGAAGATGTTTCCTATAGGTGATAGATTACCAATTGTACAATATTACAGCCCCTATATATATGTGACACATAACAGATTCTTCTAAATACTTGAATTCTAACACACTTTTTTTTATTCCTCTAGGTTGGTGTAAATTAACACAATAAAACCTATGGGTTCATGCAATAATAGATGGGTATTCCACTATATAATTATTATTATTTTGTGCACTAATATATGAGAGGATATTATCTACAACCTTTACACTTCAACAATAAGACTATTAAAGATGACTTTGCCAAATTTTATAACTATATCAAGGAAAACATAAATATTGTATGAGGTTTGAAGTAGAAATTCATTCATTCAAGGACCTTTCATATGTAATTAAGTAAGTTCTTCCCATTATCCACAATTTTATATGACTTTTTTCCCATTTTATAAATGATAGAAATGTGAGTGTTTCAAATAGTTTTATTAGCATTTTCTCTAGACGTTGGAGTTTGAGCAATATTTTGATCCAACTAATCCTCTAGATCTTCATAACTTTTCAAAGGTTCTTATACCAAAACTTGCTACAAGACAAGGACAATATATTTAAGTTTGGAATTGGTATAAAGTCTATGGATGTAAAAAGGGTGTCCATGCTATACTACCACATATTCCTCAAGATTTGTTAAAGTTAAAGGAGTGAGAACATAAGTGAGTTTTGATAATACCTTTGATATTTTTTTTGTTTTTTGTTTTTAATTTTAACATTAAGAATTTTACAGGATTATAAAATAATTGTGCATGAAGTTTAATGATCAATGGGAGGCAAATATATCAGTTAGTAGAAACAAGAGCAACCACCCAATTCCTATTTAAACGAAAAGTATCAAGCTTTATGCCTATCAAAGTTAAGTGGATCTAAGGCTCAAACTTCATTATTTTTAGTTTGTCTTTATAACTATGATTTTATACATGATAGTATTCAAATAAAAAACATGGCATATAAAGGTCTCAATGGGAAAAAAAGTCTTGTTGACTGGTACCTCCTCAATCTTCTCACTCTCAAATGCAAATTGGCTAGAGTCTAAAGAAATTCACATTCAAGATCAGGTTGAGATTGTTTTAAGTGCTGATGATCCACATCATCTTAGCACTTGCAACTGTCTTTAGAATGCATATACTTTAGATAAGGGATTGTTAATTATAATTATATTTGGTACTAGTGCATGGATATTGGTGCTGGCTTATGAGAAGTCAATGCAACAAACTAACTTTATAATTTAAGACAAACTGAATTAAGGCAAGCAAGGTATAGAATCTTTAATTTACTCTTTTTTCTCCCCAGTGCTTTCTTTTATTTTCAAGATGGCACAACATGACAAGCTCTAGGAGCAGTTAGTTATGCACTATTTGATACTTTATCAAGGTAATCCCTCCTTTCCCACCTAGCATTAAAAACTTATCTTCATCTCTTGCTTGGGTTATATTTATTTATTTGGTATTAAGGACTCTATGGAGCAATGTAAAAGTTGGTCACTGCTCAAACGTTGTGATGCATATGATGTGTGTCACAATTTGTATTGTAAGAGTTATACAAAATAATATAACATCTTGTTGATTCAATTTTGAAGCCATTTATAGTAGTTATGCCCAAAACAATTGTTTAAGAGTGTAGCACTACATAAGATGAAGTGTGATATTGTATATCTAGTACAAAGTAAGTTGTTTCCATGCTAGATTCTATGGTTGTTCCAAGTATGGGTCAAATTCAACAAGCCATTAGATGTTATTGGATATTTATATTTGCTTTAGGTACTCCAAAACTTCCTTTTATTAAGCTCACTTTGGTTTTGCAAGCATACTAGCTGATAAAGTTGGGATCTTTAAAATCCTTTACAAATGGTGGACGTCCATTATGAAACATGGATGATCTTCAACAAGTTGTGTGATCTTGAATTAGGAATAATAACACTTTATAGAGTGATTTGGATAGGTGTATCAACTTCTTTTATATCTTCCTTGTCTAAGAAACTAGTGCAAGAGGATGGTTGATAGCCTAAAGTAGGAACTTTAGAACAGTAATAGATAATAATTTAGCATGAGTCAAAATGAAAATGAAAATGCATTAGATCATGATCAAGAACTTCTTTAGATGGTTTGTTTGTAGAGAGACCCATGGCAAGTGCTACCTAAATATTACAAAGAGAGAATTATAGATTAAATAGTTTACACCCCATAACTGCACAAGCTCTTTGATTTTATAACAATACTTAGCCTCCTATCTCACAACAACTTCCTTTCTCTATTATGCCCAATATTTCCCAAGCACATTCCATTTGCCCATAAATGATCATGTCATCCTTTGATATTGAGACTCCCTCTATTTTATATGTATTTCCAAAGTTAAATTGCATCCCAGTATAACAAAAACTGCTTACAATCAATGCAGTGGTGAGAGGGTAGCATAGTGGGAATTCCTTCTTAGATGATAGAATTTAATATTCAAATGTAGTTTGTAAAGAAGTATATTAAATTAATTATCTCCTCATGTGCTTATTGAATATTAGTATTTGGATACTACCCAACAGTAATTGGCCAATAAGAACATCCTCAAAATTGCATATTAAACAATATACAGTTTATATGAGTTTTTGTTAATGCTTTTTAGTTTGAATAATGCTAGAATTTATGTTACCCAGCTTGAGCAGTCAATTTATTTTTCTCTGTCAGAAAGTGGAACATTCACAAGCAATTTCAAGTGAAGTTCCACCGGCCTACGATCATTCAAGAAAAATTTAAGAAACTCAAACTTGTACCATCGCATCAAGGAAGCAAATGAAGATGAAGAGAATCACCGGTGACACTGCCACTCGCAAATTCGAAGAAGTAAAGGAAGGAGCTTCGAGCTGGTAGAGCGATTTAGTGCCGAGAAACTCCAAGCCCCAGAGGTCATCCACATCGACTCAGAGGTGGAGCGTGCATTGCAAGTTCTCGACAGGATCATCGAGCTCGTGGAGAACTTAAAAAGTCACAGACAGCGTCCTCGGATCCATTTCCCTCAGCGGTCTCGGCTGCTTCAGCATCCACGAGCGAAGTAGGAAACGGCGAGGTAGAAAAATCGACACTGCCCAAGAGCGCCAGAAAAACTCTCTCCAGTGACAAGACAATTTAAGAGGAAAATGTTTAAACTAGGGTTCTCTGGGTGGGCTTTGGCGGGAAGGCGATGGGGAAGGCGGCCGGGAGCTTCGGTAAGATCTCTCTCGATGACGGTAGAATGCGGGTGTTTTACTGTGGATTATGGCGCAGGCGATGATTTGGGGGACGATTTCCTCACGTCTTGGAAGCCTGGGAAGCTCGGCGCGGCGCCGGGGCTGGATCTTGACGACTCGCCGCCTCGGCCCATGGCCAAGACCGGGAAGACGTTTGATCTCTCCAAATTGTGAGTGGATGGATTCTGATCGTTTCTTGCTTGCGGACGTGATTGATCGATGCGATGAATCTTGTTGCAGCGATATGGATTTGGACCTTGATGGAGGTTTTAACAAGCTAGCCTCGTTTAATATCGATCTCGATCTCCCTGGCATTGACGCTACGATGGAGAAGAACGCTGACACTGGATCCAAAACTAAAGAAGTGAGTTCTCGGTTTAAAGGCCAAGCTCTAAGTTGAGGATACAGTCCATGGAGGTTTCTCCAGTTTGTCGTCCCCCTGCTCGAGACAAGCTGCGCGTTGATCTCTCCGACAAGAACCCTGACACTGGATCCAAAGTGAGTTTTTCTCTTTTTTTTTGTTTAGAGGCTCAAGTTCTTTAGGATACAGTCGATGGATATTTCTCCAGTATCTCGTCCCCCTGCTCGAGACACTGATCTCTCCGACAACAACGCTGAGACTGGATCCAAAACTAAAGAAGTGAGTTCTGGTTTAGAGGCAAGCTCTAAGTTCTTGAGGATACAGTCGATGGAGATTTCTCCAGTATCTCGCCCCCCTGCTCGAGACAAGCTGCGCGTTGATCTCTCCGGCCTGGATTCGATGAATGAGAAGAACGCTGACACTGGATCCAAAACCAAAGAAGTGAGTTCTCTCTCTTTTTCTTTGGTTTAGAGGCCAAGCTTTAAGTTCTTGAGGATACAGTCGATGGAGATTTCTCCGGTATCTCGTTCCCCTGCTCGAGACAAGCTGCGTATCTCCGGCCTGGATTCTGACAAGAACCCTGACAGAGGATCCAAAACTAAAGACGTGAGTTCTTTTTTTGTTTTTGCTTAAAAGACCAAGCTCTAAGTTCTTGAGGTTACAGTCGATGGCTGTTGTTTCTCCAGCATCTCGCCCCCCTGCTCGACACAAGCTACGTGTTGATATTTCCGGTCTGGATTCTAGGAATGACAAGAACGCTGACACTGGATCCAAAACTAAAGAAGTGAGTTCTCCTGTTTATTTTGCTTTAGAGGCCAGGCTCTAACTTCTTGAAGGATATAGTCGATGGAGAAAGGACCCGTTGTTTCTCCAGTATCTCGTCTCCCTGCTAGAGGCAAGCTACGTGCTGATCTGTCCGGCCTAGGTTCTAGGTATGACAAGAACGCTGACACTAGATCCAAAACTAAAGAAGTGAGTTCTATGTTTTTTGCTTGAGAGGCCAAGCTCTAAGTTCTTGAGGATACAGTCTTCTCCAGTATCTCGTACCCCTGCTCGAGACAAGCTGCGTGTTGATCTCTCCGGCCTGGATTCTAGGAATGACAAGAACGCTGACACCGGATCCAAAACTAAGGATGTGAGTTGTCTTTTATGTTTGCTTGAGCCAAGCTCCTTTTTTTTTTGCTTGAGCCAAGCTCTAAGTTCTTGAGGATACAGTCTTCTTCAGTATCTCGTACGCCTGCTCGAGACAAGCTGCGTGCTGATCTCTCCGGTCTGGATTCTAGGAATGACAAGAACGCTGACACCGGATCCAAAACTAAAGATGTGAGTTGTCTTTTTTTTTTTGCTTGAGGCCAAACTCTAAGTTCTTGAGGATACAGTCTTCTCCAGTATCTCGAACCGCTGCTCGAGACAAGCTACGTGTTGACCTCTCCGGCCTGGATTCTAGGAATGACAATAACACTGACGCTGGATCCACAAGTAAAGATGTGAGTATGTTTGTTTTGAAGGAGAAAAGAACGATGTTAATCTCTTTCCATCCTAGGTTCCAGCAGATAAGCTGGACTCCTTTGAGGTGGACCATTCTGATGCTGCAAAGGAGAAGAGCAACGGATCCAAAGGTAAAGATGTGGTACGATCGGTGGACGAGTATTCTTCATCACCTCCTCCTGCTCGAGAGAAGAATCCTGCCATCGATGCCATCGATGCCATCAATGTAAGTAGTCCCTGGCAAGAAGTCTACTTATCTTGGAGAGTTTCCAGGTGCAAGAGATGGAGTGGCGACCGGAGCCTGCTCCCCCACTGGCCATCGATGTAAGTCGTTCCTGCAAAGAAGTCTACTTACCTTGGAGAGTTTTCCAGGCGCAAGAGATGGGGTGGCGACCGGAGGCTCTTCCCCCGCTGGCCATCGCTGTAAGTAGTTCCTGCTAAGAAGTCTACTTATCTTGGAGAGTTTTCCAGGCGCAAGAGATGGAGTGGCGACCGGAGCCTGCTCCTCCACTGCTGGAGAAGCCTGAAAACGAGGTGGTCGACAAAGTGGACTGCTACACGGAAGTTCTGGAGGAGGTGAAGGGCTTGTTTCACCTCCTAACGTTAACTCCTTTCATGTCCTTCGCATTCTAGATGTGTAAGATGCTCAAGCAGAAGAAGGAGGAAGCCACAGATCTTCTGGTGAGGGCGATCGTTGCAAACAACAAGCTGCTGTTGCTCAACAGTCCCGTGCACGACGAGAAAATATCCTTGCATTTCTCAGTTTCAAAGAGCTTGCTTCCTTTCCTTACTATATTTCTCTTCACATCCAGCTTCTCAGGCGCTCTGTGAATGAATTACTGGGAGAACCTTCTAAAGTCTGAGGTACTTGGTTTGTTTACTTTCCAATGAACGTAAACGTTTGATCGCGTTACTTAGTTTAATAAGTTTCGAGAGTTAAGGTTAAGAAGATTATATTTTTGGTAGGGTATTGGAAGGACGTGCTATCAAAAATATCAAGCCTGGAAAAATCTGATATTCTAGGTGGTTGTCAAGTCTTGTGTATATTTGCATGAATCGCACGCATGTAACTACTGCTTACAACGTGGCAACGTGTTGCCCATGGAACAGCTCTTTCAGTAGGAAGGACTAGGGCTTCTTTCTTTCCCACGAAAATTTAAAAAGAACCTCACAAAGACAAAGTGAAAGGAAAAGGAATGTTTGATTTGAAACTAATGTTATATCTCTAATAAATGCCAAACCATGTAAATACAAAAGAGATGGCGCGAAATTGGGTCGGGCGATCGCTCCGCCGACGCCCCCACCAACCGCAGCGATCTCCCGTCGCGCGGTGCCGTCGGATCACGTCCTCTTGGCACCGTGACCGTTGGATTGAGGAATATACGTGGCGGGATGTACGGCGTCTCCCCGCTCCCCGGCGTTCGCCCCGAAGAAGAAGAAGAAGAAGAGGGATTCTTCGTTAGGTTCTATAGAGAAATTTGGAGCTTGTCCGGAAGAACAGTGGAAGAAGTAGAGATCTAGCTCCGGGTAGCTTCTAGGAACCGCAGGAATCGAAGGATGAGAGTCTCGCGTAGGGCTTGGTCGCGGTAGCGGCATCTGGATCGATAGGAGCAGCCATGAATTCCAGGTGTAGAGTGGGGGATCACGACCGGCGGCGCGATAGAGGGCAAGAACGCGAGATTACGGCGAGGAATCGCTTGTAGCAGGCCAGGGATTCGAGGCGAGAGATGCGTTACCAGCTGGGAATGGAGCGCTCCAAGCTACTCACGCTCGGCAAGCCCTCTCCCGAGAATCCAATGGCGATGCTGCCCGGGGGCGGCGGCGCGGGAGGATCGATCAAGCAGAACATCCAGGACATCGTGTGGTCCTTCATGTTTGGGGCAGGAGATGTGAGATTGAGGGCCGCCAGAGAGATTCGCAGGCTCACCAAGACATCGGCCAAGACGAGGGTCTACCTCGCGGCGGCGGGCGTGATTCCGCCGCTGGTTCTCATGCTCAAGTCCTCCTGCCACGATTCCAGGGAGGCGGCGCTCCTGGCGGTCCTAAATCTCGCCGTGGGGAATGAGAGGTATCGTGTTCCTCGCATTGATTTCCTTGTTCTTCGTATCTAGGCTATCTCACGCTCGAATTCTTCCAGGAACAAGGTGAAGATCGTCAAGTCGGGCGCAGTGGCGCCGCTGGTGGACCTCCTCCAGACCGGCTCCACGCTGCGCGAATCCGCCGCCGCGGCGCTCTACACCCTCTCCGCCGCGCCGAGCAACAAGCCCGTCATCGGCTCCTCTGGCGCCATCCCGCTGCTGGTGGAGATGCTCACCTCGGGCAGCGTCCAGGGCAAGGTGGACGCGGTCATGGCGCTCTACAACCTCTCCACGCTCCCGGAGAATCGCCCACCAATCCTGGCCGCGCGCCCGGTGCCGCCACTCCTCCTCCTCCTCAAGAGCTGCAAGAAATCGGGCAACGTCGCGGACAAGGCCACCTCGCTGCTGGAATCGCTGTCCGCCTTCGAGGACGCGCGGGCGTCCATCGGCAAGGTGGAGGGCGGGATCCTCACGCTGGTGGAGGTGCTCGAGGACGGATCCAGCAAGAGCCGCGAGCACGCCGTGGGGACGCTGCTGGCGCTGTGCCAGAGCGATCGATCCACGTACCGCGACGCGATCCTGGACGAGGGGGCCATCCCGGGGCTGCTGGAGCTCACGGTGCAGGGCACGCCGCGAGCGCAGCGGATGGCTCACACGCTGCTGGAGCTCCTGCGCGAGTCGCCGGCGCGGAGCTCCAGTGCTGGCGGCGGCGGTGGCGGCGGTGGCGGCGGAGGAGGAGCGATCGATGGCATGGAGTGCGAGGTTGGCGGCGGCGGCGGCGGCGAGGAGGAGGAGGAGATCACCGCGAGGAAGATGCTGTCGGAGATGGTCCAGCTGAGCATGGAGCAGAGCATGAGGCACTTGCAACAGAGGGCGCTCTTTTGCCGCGCCCCGTCCAGTGTCTCATCGTCGGACGATCCATCCTCGTCTCCACAGCTCTCATCGTCCGACTGAGTGTTTAGCTTTTCTTTTTCTTTCTTTCTCCTTTATCTTGCTGCGCCACCTTTTTTCCTTTTCTGGCTCATTTTCTTGGTCCGCCACCTTTGCTGTTATATGTACAGAAAAAAAAAGAGATTTAAAACTTTATTTCAAGGGCGAGAGGGAGAGAAAAAGAAAGAAGCTTGACTTGCGCGCCTGGATCGATCGATGGAGGGAGACCTCTTCTCCTGTGGCATCTTTCTCTGATTTCACGCGATCCCTTACACCCCCCCCAAACTGCCTTGTCTTGTTCCCCATATTATATTCTATCTGTTGGGGTCGTCCTCTTGCGGGAAGATGCTCTTCGCAATGTAGAGATATCAATATCGTCTAATCTCCATGGCTTTGCTTCTTTTTCTCTGTAGATTGACGAGGACTGCCTACACGAGCCTCTGGTCCCGCCGTAGCTATATGACCTGCGACCCATCTCTCTGGAACTTTATAAAGTGGTCTCCATCGATCAAGACGAGAGACGAGAGAGACGAGAGAGACGAGAGACGAGAGAGACGAGAGACGAGAGAGACGAGAGAGACGAGAGACGAGAGAGACGAGAGAGAGAGAGACCCATTTTTTTTATCTATCTTCTTCTTCTTCGTCTCCCTTTCCTGGTCAAATCCCATATCCCAGTAGCTCTAGGACAGTGGCCGCCCATTCCCTGCCTTATCGACAGTGCACAAATGGGAGGCCAGAGTGTTGAAAAGCTTGATCTAAGAAGTACCTCCGAGAAGATCTCTTGATTGACACGGGACTCCGGGACGTTTTTCATTATCTATGGAACAATCTCTGTTTCTCAGAGTCTTCCTGCAAATGACACTCGAAGCTTTTCCTTCTCAGTCGTGTTAGAACCAAATGGTCACTTTTGACGGCTGATCGAAACCAAAACGATGCATACCTCAGGGACAAAGGAGAGGGCAAAAGGAGGACAAAATCGTCGCTGGAAACCGGAACTCTGACCGACGCAAAAACGGAATCCATCAAACCGTCCAGCTCGATCTCGTGTTGCTGCTGTACTTGAGCGGGAGGTTTGCGTACATGGCGATGTCTTCGCGGATGATGCTGCTCTTGAGACGAGACCTCTCGTACGAGACTTCTCCCGGGAGCACGGAGTAAAGTCTCTGGGATTTCTCGATGTCCTTGTTCAGTGGCCTCCAGCTCGACTTCAAGCTCCCTGCGAACGAAAAGTTTGTATTTCTTTAAGAAAAAGGAGGGAAAGAAGCTCTTACCGAGAGGATTGAAGGATGGTGGCGCTATAGCTCGGACGGGAGGAAGCGTTGGCATTTTCTCGATCTCGAGAGGAGGATCTTTCCCGATTTGTGGAGCGGCAGGAGATCTCCTCAGAATCCAGTTACCAAGCCGTTTGCCGGCAGACATGTCCCATGCTGCGAACTTCTTCTGGATCTTGATGACGGTGTCAAATGCAAACCGCGTCCGCCTTGAAAAGAAAAAGATGTCGGTCAGTACTCTCGACTTATGGAGCAAAACTATGACAAGTAGCTCCTCTAAGGGGAAAGACAAATCCTACTCTCGAACAAGAGCACGGAAAGAAAAAGATGCCGACCAGCATTCTCGACTTATGGAGCAAAACTAGCTCAAGACAAGCAGCAAGAACACGGTTTAAGGATCAAGGGAGATCAAGCATACCTCTGCGCGAAACACCGGAGGCGCCCGCTCTTGGGCAGGACCTTTCTCTGGATCCTCAGTGCCAGGCGATAGGTGCGCTTGAGCCCAAGGAAGTACGCCGTCGCCAGAGTGAGCTCCCACAGCACCATCGCGCCTGCGACCTTCGGTCCCTTTTGCCCTAAACGGATATCCGGGGTGTAGGGTTTACAAACAGTAATTGCAAAAGGTTAGTCTCCACCCTTTCTTATAAACTTGGCCAAAAAATAAAAGTTTGGCCAAAAAAGAAAAAAAAAACTCACTTTTTAATGTCTTGGTATCAACAAGCTTATCTCGAGCAGAAGATACTGGAGAAGACTGTATCCTCAAGAACTTAGAGCCTAGCCTCTAAAGCAAAAAAAAAAAAAGAGAACTCACTTCTTTAGTTTTGGATCCTGTGTCAGCGCTCTTGTCATTCCTAGAACCTAGGTCGGATAGATCAGCAGGTAGCTTGCGTCGATACAGGAGAAAAAACGGGTCCTCTCTGTGCAAGAACTTAGAGCTTGCAAGGATAAGAGAAAAGAAAGCTCACTTCTTTTAGTTTTGGATCCTGTGTCAGCGCTCTTGTCATTCCTAGGCCGGAGAGATCAACATGTAGGTTGTCTCGAGGATACTAGAGGATCCTTTCTGTGCAAGAACCTAGAGCTTGCAAAGACAAGAGAAAAAAGAGAACTCACTTGTTTAGTTTTGGATCCTGTGTCAGCATTCTTCTCCGTCGCAGCGTCAATGCCTCGAGATCTATTGAACGAGGCTAGCTTGTTGAAACCTCCATCAAGGTCCAAATCCATCGCTGCAACAAGACGCATCGCATCGATCAATCACATCCGCAAGCAAGAAACCACGAACTCACAATTTGAAGAGTCTTCCCGGTCTTGGCCAAGGGCCGAGGCGGCAAGATCCAGCCCCGTCGCCGCGCTGAGCTTCCCAGCAATCCAAGACCTGAAAAAATCGTCCCCCAGATCATCGCTTGCGCCATAATCCACAGTAATACCCGCATTCTACTGGCCCATCGCGTTCCCGCCAAAGCTCACCCGAAGAACCCTAGTTTAAAGATTTTAACGGGAAATCCCATCCCTCCCTTTATATTTTCCCCTTAAAATATCTTTGAGCAACGCTAGCTTGGATGTCTGTTGTCTCGTTGCTTGGAGAAGTGGCCTTCTTCCAGAGCCAAAGCAGCTAGTGTCACTGGCGAGATTTTTCTTGGCGTTCTTGAGCAGTGACGATTTCGCCACGTCGCCGTTTTCTAATGCGCTCGTCGATGCTGTCGCCGCTTCCGAGGACGCTGTCTGTGACTTCATGTCCTCCACGAGCTCGATGATCTTGTCTAGAACTTGCAATGCACGCTCCACCTCTGAGTCGATGTGGATGACCTCTTGCCGGTCGGGGGCTTGGAGTTTCTCCGCACGAAATCGCTCTACCAGCTCTTGTGATGTCGAAGCTGCTTCCTTTACTTCTTCGATTTTGTCAGTGGCAGTGTCAGCGGTGATTCTCTTGGTCTCCATTTGCTTCTTCTCTGATCGTTTCATGCCGTCCTTGATGCGATGGTACAAAGGCTCCGAAGCCATGAGCTTTTGGAAGACTTTATGCTGGCTTGCAGATAGCACGGCCTGGGAACAAACCGCTGAGTGGTTTAGAAAAGCACAAACTTGTAGGCAACGCGTACCTTTTGATAAAGTTTGTAGCCACTGCCAACGAGCTGCCGTGTGATGAAGTTGATCACCCAAGGTGGAACAAAGTCGAGCTTTATATCCATATTGACCAACGTCCTGCGAAACACTGAGGTGAAACTGGAAACACGGAGAACGTCGACAAGCTTCAAACTACCTGAAGAAGCTCTGCTCGTTGGTCATCTTTTGCAGCATAAATCCACCTGAAATTTCCATGCGAACGACATCCTGTGTGGCAGGGGGTAATTCGTCCGCAGAGAATCCATAAATCTCCTCTTCACCTTCGTCTGGATCTGAAGGAGCCTACACACATGTCGATTTTGCAAACAGCTAAGAGCAGAAACACAGGGACTTCGAGCATACCGTGCCAAAAGTAACAATCACAACGTCGTCCTCAAAGTACTCCAGCTCAAACTCGGTCATGAGAACCTCCCGTTGCGCCAGAGGCCACGGTACCTTGACTCTGGAGAACTTAGTTAACACTGAAACCACAACGCAGCCGCATACCTTATATGACACAGATCCTCGCCGACGCGAATTCTCTTCACGCATTTGGATTCCACAACTTTGAACGTCGGCATGTTAAACTGCGGCCACCTGTTTAGACGTCAACGAGGAACTCGCAGAAACAAAGCTCCAACATACCATGTATAAAACGCTGGAGCTTCCCAAGCCACACAGATAGCTGCGACAAAGAAAAAAAAATCCCAAAAGGCCAAAGCTTGAGAAAACCATCCGAGAAATTTTTTTTTCCTACCATTCATCATGGGTCCATTCACAATGCCTTCAACACAATAAGTGTGGAATGGCATGCCTTCTGGGCCTGGCCGATACATAACACGCATAACATCCGTTTCCTCCTTGATCTGACAAAACCACCAAAATAAACCTTCTTTCGATCAGAGAGGGAAAATCGAAGATGTGATTACACTACCTTCCATGAGAATGGCGTCTCTTCGTTGTCTAGGAGCTCCTGGCGAGCGCTTCTCAGCGCATCCAAAAACGTAGAAATCTCCGTCGCTCGCTTCTCGGCGACCTTGTCGATCGTCTCCTGGGACCAGGCATGGTAGTGCTTGTCTGGAAGAAATTATCGAAGATTTCAGCCACAAACACCTGATCGAGAGTGCAATCCTCTACAGGAAGCCTACATTTGACCTAGAAAATCTGAGAATGCGCGATGGATCAATCATCCTGGCGGGGCGAGATGCTTACCCAGTGCCGGGCTCGCGCTTAGCTGATCCCGCACGATCTGGACGATTCCAGCTCGCTGCGAGAGGGCTGGCGACATGAGCGACGAATCCAGGCGCGCGCGACCTCGCTCCTTGGCAGCCGCCATGATCGATCCACTCCCCCTCGTGAAGAACACATACTAAAAGAAATCCCAAAGAGTAGCAGTTGTATCCAACGAAGAGAAAGAAAAACGAGGCACAAAGATGCACTAATGGCCTGCGTGGACGGCCAAGATGTGCTCAGATTGGACGGTCCGCGGTCGCTCACCGAGCTATTTGACCGAAGCGCGCTCACTGACAAAGTCTACATGGCGAGTCTCGATCCGACGGCTCTAGCAGTGTCAGCTCAGATGTCTAGCTGGCAAATAGTTTCCCTCCTTTAGGTTGAGCGCGTAGGGTTTTCGCGATGGTCGCGCCTGGAGGAGGCTTTGGAGCTGCGCCACTGCAACTAGGGATTGGTGGGCACAGCACAGGAGCTAGAAATCGCTAGAATGCGGGCGCTAGATTCTCCCAGGACGCGCGGCGGCATGGAAATCTCGTAAATCTATTGGTAGAATGCGTCCAGGTCGTGATGGAGAAGGATTTTTCTCACTCGGGATCTAGCGGGAGGCGGCGGTTAGATAGAGTGAACGCATTGGGGAGGAACACAAGCTATAATTCGACCGAGCCAGGCGATGAGAAGGATCTATTCAGGTTGGATGGAGACGACGATGAGAGCGTGTCGAATATGCTCAGCAGGATTGGTATCACGAGGCCAGATATGCTGGGGATTCCGGCAAGCGAATGGAATAACAGGATGAGCCGGCCCTCTTCTGGTGAGTTGCAATTCAGAGGACATCCGGAAGCTGAGAATCCAAGCACTAAATTGGTGCTACCATCTAGGCTGGGCAACCGGACGAGATCGTTTGAGCCGCCTTTTTCAAGGAACTCTCTCGAGGTTGATCAACCCCGTAGCTACTCTCTCGAGGAAAAATCTCGGGAAGATACAACGCGGCAGCTCAGTCCTTTGTCTTCTAGTCCGGACTCACCCTCCACTTCATATGATCGCGATCGTGGCGAGGCTCAAGCCGCCGTATCGGATCGGGACTTTACTTTTCTAAACGATGGGAGCTCGGATTCGAGGAGCCACAGCAGCTCGGGTGATGGGGGTGAAGATAAGGGCCGGAGTATGGATTCGCAGGCCTCAGATGATACACATCCAACTGAGGCGGTGGACTATGAGCAAAGTCCACAGCCAACAAGTTTGACGACAAGGCTATCCTGGAGTTCGTGGAAGAAGCTCGAGTTGCTGGGATCTGGGTCCTTCGGCTCGGTTTATCGGGCTGTTGGCAGGTACTAGAAATCTTTCAACATGTTTGCTTCTAAACTTCTACGTTCGTTCTTCTGCAGTGATGGGAACTATTTTGCGGTGAAGGAGGTCCCTCTTTCCAACGCAAATGACCAAAGTGGTCTTCAGCTGCAACAGGTGAGAGTTTTTTCAGTCGTTAAACAATTGCCCTGACAGGATGCTTTTCCAGGAGGTAAATTTGTTGGGTAACCTCCGACACGAAAACATTGTTCAATACTTAGGAACACAAAAGGTAAGGTGCTTACACGGTTTCTCGATTGATATGGCATTCTCACTTATCCTTTCCAGACGAAAGACAAGCTGTACATTTTTCTGGAGCTGGTGACCCAGGGGTCTATCGTATCTCAGTACAAACACTTTGAAATGTTCGACGAACAAATTAGGAAGTATACGAAGCAGATCCTTTCTGGACTCAAGTACCTACACGAGAAGAAGGTTGTGCACAGGTATGATATGAAACAATGTGGCAGCGCACATAGTAACCGCAACCTCATGGCTTCTACAGAGATATAAAGTGCGCGAACATTCTTGTTCACGCTCATGGAACGGTCAAGCTTGCTGATTTCGGAATGGCCAAGCAGGCAAGTTATTTCTTGTGCTTCAGGACCTTTCTAAACAACTTTTCTACCTCATTTTTAGTTGGAGAAAATAGACAGCATGAGATCCTGTAAGGGAAGCGTGTACTGGATGGCTCCGGAGGTTGGCCTTGGCAATCTTTACCCGTCTCACAAAATGCTCACAACTTCTCAGTGTCTTTCAGGTTATAAACCCGAAGAAAACAGCAGGTTTTCCAGCCGATATCTGGAGCTTGGGGTGCACTGTTCTTGAAATGGCCACCGGAAAGCCTCCATTTAGTGACTGGGAATGGGTACGTTGTCTTGCCATCTCCTTTGCTCGCGCTGCTTCTTACCCCTTCCTCACTATGCTAGAACACCGTCTTCTTCAGAGTTGGTCGTGGGGCGCTCCCTGAAATTCCCGACTCCATCCAAGGAGACGCTCGAGATTTTATCTTAGAGTGCTTGCAAGCGGATCCTTCAAAACGGCCAACAGCGTCGAAACTCTTGGACCATCCGTTCGTAAATTCAAGACCAGTGGTGGACACGACTGGCCTAGTCACCGAATCCACAGAAATCGTCTCAGCGTACGACTCCTGGGGAGTTTCAGCAAGGTAAACTTTCAGGATTTTCAAGGGGAAAAAACTTACACATTGGAAAATGTAGGACTGAAACCGGTCGGACTGCGCGATCAGTCCGGACAAGGCAAAGCATTTACCACAACCAGTGAGCGGAGGTTTGTGTCGTGTATTTTATTTGGTAACACGCATTTTAGCACAGGATTTGATCGTACGTACGAGTTCTAAGAAAAAGAAAAAAACTCGCGCACAGGTTCTCTTCGAAAAATCGTCTCAGGCCATTGTAATTCACAACAGCCATCAACTGGAAAGAGACAAACGAATCTCCTATACAGGTAACCAAAACCGGGAGAGAAATTTTTATGCAACCTTGCCGCTATGTCTGACGCTCCTCGCGTTCTTGGCGGTGGGAGCTTGCAAGCGGTGTGGCGGAGCTTTCGCGGTGCTTAACTCAGGGGCCGGGGGCCGCCTGGAACTAGCAGCTCGTCTTTGCTCGATCACGTCTCGATGATATCCCTGCTCAAACCAGCGCCAAGATCAAAGATTGCTCTTACTCAAGATCAAAAGTTACCTGCACCACGAAGTTTCGTCTCTGGCAATCCAGGAACATGTTGATCCGCCATGGAACCTGGGCCATGATCTTGTCCCGGACGATCCCAAAGCTTATCTGGTCTCGCGATGTGAAACGATCCACCTCATTGAACCACAGGCACGTAAATAAGTTTGTCAGCGGTGTGTGCTCCCGGACGATGACACAACCCTCGGGAACGTCTGTCTAGCAGCACAAGTTAGTGAATCCCAAACCCGCGATTCTTTGTATCATACCACTAACGATTGGCAGCTTGGCAGTCGTGTAGGGCACCAGTCCTTCCTTGCGGTAGAAATTCACCTGCGCATCAATGGAGGCATTGTTGTACTTTCTAGCTGCCTTGTTAGCTTCTGCCTCTGTGAAAACGTCGAAGCGCTTGTAATGCTTGGAGATGGCGAAGGTGTCGTGCGTTCTCCACAAAAATCTGAGAAAAGAAAAAACGTTCATGCAGGATTGTTTCACCAAACTACGGACATACCTTTCCAGAATCTGGTAGGGATCAACCACGAGCTCGAGCTTGCCATCGATCCACAGAGAGAACCTTGCATTTGGAAATAGGCGATGCGAGAGAAGTTTCGGGATCTGCACAGAAGGAAACGTTGAGTGATTCCATATCATTCACAAGCTGTAAACACCTACCTTCCCAGTGCGCCTTGGATCTAAGTAAGGAATGTTGTGGACTGTCACCACTCTCCACAGACCAACCTTTTTAGTTCTAGAGTAAGAACCACCCCTCTTGATGATTGCTGCCTGGGTCTCTTCGTCGACAAACATGAAAAAGCAAACGTTTTTCTTACTATGCTCGCTGATGTGTTTGGGCTGCTGCAAGGGGTCATAGTTTCCTGTAGAACAATATGAATAAGACGAGACGAAACAGCCGTAGAAAGCTTACCAAAGATGGCAGAGATAACCACAATGCCATGGCACTTTTCCATGTCATACAAATCGGACTCGTCAATGTCGAAACCAGAACCAACACCGGGTTTGATTCCCCTGGCAAAACTGGAAGAGCATTGGACAATGTGAGTAGACAGAATAGAAACTTAAAAAACCCATACCCGCAGTACAAGTGCATCGACTCCTCTATCTTGTGTGATCTTTTGCGATCCTCCAAGGTGGGATGGCCGCCAAAAGCCGATCCCGGCGAGGTTGCCGCAGTAGAAGTATCTTCTCGTACATAGGTGAGGTTCTGGACGATGAGAGACGGAAAAACGCCAGATGGAGGATAAAGCTTCTTTGCTTCCTCGACTGGAAGGTAACAGACTGGGCAGGCTGCAACACGCAAGTGTAAGGTTCCAGACTTTGGCTGTAAAACTTTGAGAAAGACTGATACTCACGGCGTGGTCCAGTCCTCTTCTTGTCCGCAGGAGGGGGCGGCATCGTGAAAGACTCGCAAGGGTGCCCATGAGGAAGCGGAGGATCAAGGAAAGACGTCGGAGGCAGCAGCCTCAGGTACTCGACCACACTCGCGGCGCCTGCCGCAGCTTCACTCGTCTCATTTGCCGCATTCGTGGAACCAAAGATGGATCTTTGCTTTTCTCCTGGGAATTTACCAAACAGGGACTGGAGAGACTCGATCCAAGAACAAACAGACAAGAAGGAGTAACAGTCCGATACCTTGCAAAGGCGGCCTGGGAAGCGACACAATGCTGAAATCGCTGACGAGCATGAGAAGAGAGATGCAGGCCAGGAATGCCGCGACATAGAGGCCAGTGCGCCGATTGCTCAAGAATCGGCAGAATTTCGAGCTCCAATCCCGGCTACTGGTCGACTGATGCTGCATCCCCCATACTTTGGGAGGAATCTTGGAAATCCGGGGCAATGGCGGCAGCTGAGCTGTGCTGCTGCCGTTGCGGTACGCCCTCGCGCCGCTCATTGCAATTTCTTCCCCATCGCCCCGCAAGAACCCTAAGCCCTAGATCAAGAAATATTTTCCCTCCAGACCGGTCCGAAAATAATGCGATCTAGTAAAAGACATCGAGGAGAATATCCCCGTGCATCTTTTCCCATTTTAAATCTCGCGTACCACATATTTCCTTGTGCTGGCACCGAACGCCATAAAATCACCGTCTTGGAGCTCTTGCCTGCTCTTCCCGACCCTTTTCTTGTTCACGAAAGTTCCGTGGACCGAATCCATATCGACCAAATGCAAACTTTCTCCGCTCCAGAGTAATTTCGCGTGCTGCGAGACAAATGCTGCGATGAATTCCCGCGAGAAGAGTACAAAAAAGGAGAGGATTCAATGAAACCATTTCGTACCTGTCTCGATATGGATGCGTGATCCAAGACGACGTCGCAAGTTGTTTGGCGACCGAAGATCAGCTCTTCTTTCTCGCAGGGGTTGATCGTGTCGACGATCTGTCCACTCTGTGCGATAGCGGATACCATAAGTTATATAAGGAAGAAACGAAGAACAAAAAACGGGCAAACCTTGTGAACTTCCACAACAAATTCTTTCGCTGGCCTCCCGCTTCGTTTCCTCTCGACTTCACGCAGTTGCTTGATGAAGCCTGGATTGGGATCAACCTCCTTGCGCTGCTCCTTGAGGAACCTACAAAATCGAGAAACAATAAACTCACAAGTTACACACAAACGTCGGTTTCGAAACACCTTGGAACAGCACTTCACTTGATTGTCTCGTCGACTCCCCAGTGCTGGACACGCATCAGGTAGTAAGCGCACAAGGTCACGGAGCGGCTGGCTCCAGCGCCGCAGTGGACGAGCACCCGAGCTTTCGCTCTCTTTGCCTCCTCTATAAACTCGAATGCCGGTTCGAAATACTGAGTTATATTTGCGTTCGGTTCATCTGCGAACGAGCAATAGTTTTAATATTCCTGGAAAAAAATCAAAGGAGCTCACCAAAAATGTCGAAGTACTTGTGCGTGCATCCTTTGATTTCCTTTAAACGCTCGGTATGAGCAGTCAATACGTATGTTATGTGAAGATCGTTGAGAATGGGCACGGAGTTCGCGTGTTCCCAAGTTCCCATGTATAGGAACCGAGGTATAATCTTAAAACCAAGAGTCAGGAAATGAGAATAAAAAGAGAATTTTTTGATGCGAGTACCTCAGCTGGATAGCTTGGAATCGCCCAAGGTTTGACAGACTTACATATGATAAAAGGATATCGCTTTGAGAAACAGGCAAACGGGTCCCCGCCTTCCTCATCTATGCCAGACACGAAAGAATTAGATTTCTTCGCGAAAAAGCAACGAAAGAAATCTAGCTCACCTTCCATGATTTTCAGAGACTTGACACGATTCTCCTCCATTAAAAACTTGGCAACTGGATCGACAATCACTTCGCTTGCCTTGCGCTTCTTCTCTTTCTCTTTCTCTTTCTTTTCCTCCTTCGTCGGCCACACCCCAGGAACAAGAAGAACATCCCTTCCCCACCAGTAATCCTGGGACCAGACCGCGCCCATCACATACTCGAGCGACGCACCTTTGACACGCACGCACACAGCATTCCGGATGTGCGCCACCGCGAAGTGCGATTGCTCGCGCGAATCGAAGATGAGCAGTTGCGGATCATTCACGAGCGCGTTGAACGACCGCCACGCCATGGCGAGGACGAAGAACCCTAACCTAGAAGATACTTTCCCGCCAAATTTCAAAAGACTTGCCACGCGGCGCTAATATGGCCGTTGGATGTAAGGTTTTCTTGCTGATCTGTTGAAAGGGCAAAAGCGAAAGCCCCATCAGGGTTTGAAACGCTTGCGCTGAAACGCTTGCGAGAGATTGATCGAATCTATCAAGAGGTCGGCGATGGCGCAGCACAAGAGGCGATCGACTGTGAGTATTCTTTTGTTCTTGTGTCAATTAGCTCGGTCGCGAAAGGTTAATGTTAAAAACTCGATCTCGTCACAGCAAAACTAAGAAACCATAAAATGGGGCAAACTTCACTGACTTTGTGGGTCTGTCGAGCTTCAGTTCTTCGATCCAAATGCCTGCACTACGATGCAATACATTCCTTTTGGATGTAAGTCTTTTGTTTGCTTTGATGTCCAGTTCGTCTTTGGTGTAATGTTTGCTTTTCTCGAATTCTAACTTTGATTTCGATTTCGCAGTGCACATTCCGGACATTAAGAAGCGCTTTGCAATCCACCATGCTGTCAAAAGATACATTGAAGCTGGCCATCACGACAGTGTTATCAGAAGCGGGGTAAGCATTTCGATCCAGGAAACTTGATTTTCAATGAACAACTGCGTGTTCTTTTCTTACTTTTCCAGTGCCGCATTCGGGACATAACTCCTCCGAAAAGAATACGATGCAAGAAAATCATACCTGGTCCCCATCATCATCCTGGTAAAATCGTGATTCATGAATTCGTTCACGAGATCAACCTTTTCTTTTTCTTCTTCTTTTTGTTTTTGGCTTTAGTTCCTCAGAGAAGTGTGATCACTGGAAAACTCGGGCCTAAAGATAACATCATACCTCCTCGCTGCGCTCTTGGTCCTCAGTTACTCTCTCCCGGCGGTCACTACAACGAAGATGTCATCGATGGCAGATTCATCCCGAAACAACTAGTTGAGAGCTTTTGCTTTGATCTTTGTTTTTCTCATGCCACTGTTCTTCCAGAAACCTGACAAGATCACGATAGGACACCAGCCATTCAAGAAGGAAGAAGTTAAAGACAACTTCTTCAAAGTTCACCAGGTAAAACTCCGTGCGAGGAAAGTTTTTTAAAGCCTTTTCTCTCGTTTTCTTGTTCCTTGTCACACAGGCTCGCCAAGATCACGCAACGTATAAGCTCCGGACGCACGCAGCATTGACAGAGTTTTTGTACGAGGCCAAAGATCGAGCGGGCGAAGTTTTTAACAAGGACGAATTCTCCAAAGTAAGGCCCAGCACTGCTCCAGCGGCGTCGCCGGCAAAACCTCTTAAGAAGTGAAAGCTTTCGAACAAGCAAGAGAGAGCTTTCATTCAAAGAATTTTGGAAGTTTTGTTTAGCGTCTATGATTAATGTAATCACGGCCAGAATATCCCTTTCGTCGGCGTGAAATATGCCTAGAAGATATTCTGACAGGTTTTGTGCATATTCTGTTAGATATTACGGCTATGGTTTTCCTCGTTTGATGAATCAAGAACGCGCCTCGCTCGATCGATGGCGATGCGCTCGGCGCTCATCGGAATCCTAGCGGCATTATTTCTTTTCCCGCAGGCATCGATCGGCGCCAGCGCCAGCAGCAGGCATTCGCAAGACGGCAGGAATTCGTCATCGAAATGCTTCCCGCTGCTCTTCTCTTTCGGCGATTCTCTCACGGATACAGGCAATGCGCAGCGGATCTTCCCATTCGAGCAGAACAGAGCCAGCCATTCCCCATACGGGAGGACGTTCTTCGGCCGGCCGCGCGATCGCTTCTCCGACGGGAGGCTGATGATTGATTTCATAGGTAAAGCTTGGTTCTTAGACGAAATTCTGCGCTTCTTGGTTGAAATCCGTGAATGCATGTCGATCTTTCGCAGCGGAGGCGCTGGGATTGCCATTCTTGTCCCCGTATGTGCAAGCGGTCGGATCCAGCTTCCAGCACGGGGTAAATTTCGCGACCTCTGGAGCTACGGCCACCGACATCACATTCCTCGTCCCTCACACGCTGGGCGTCCAGGGCTACTGGCTCAAGAAATTCAAGGTCGAGGTCCAGGACGCGCGCAGCAATCCGGTAAACACCGCCCTCTTGCCGGATCTCAACTCCTTCAGCAAGGCGCTCTACGTGGTCTTCATTGGGGGCAACGATTACAACGCTCGCCTCTTCGTCTACAACATGACGATCGATCAGCTCTTCGATGCGGTGCCGGTCGTGGTGGATGAAATCGGTAAAAGAATCGAGGTACATTGTCTATCTATCCTTTCTTGGGTTCTTTGGGTTCGTTGTTTAAAAACTTTTACCGGCATTTCCTCCAGGATCTCTATGCGGAATCGGCCAGGAATTTTCTCATCGTCAACGTACCTCCAGTCGGTTGCACGCCGGAGCTGCTAACCTTCTTCAATCACGTCGACACAAATCCGGAGGACTACGACTCCGCCGGCTGCTTTACCCCATACAACGCGGTCCTGGAAGCGCACAACGATGTGCTCATGGACGCAGTGAATCGGCTGCGAAACGTCCATCCAGACGGGCTCTTCGTCTACGCAGACTACTACCGGATCACCGGAGACATCCTACGCGATCCACAAAACTACGGTAAAAACGTTTCCTCGCTTAAGTCACTTTTTACAAAACTTCTGGACACTCAGGGATGGAGGACGTGATCCACGCTTGCTGCGGCACCGGGGGCCGCTACAACTTCAACGTCTCGTCGCAGTGTGGATCCAACAGCGTCGTCAATGGCCTGCCTTTCACGCCGCCGTCCTGCCCCAACCCCGCCGCGGCTGCCAACTGGGACGGCGTCCATCCCACCGAGGCGTTCACCAAGATCATCGCATCGTCCTTCCTCCAGGGCCGCTACATCGAGCCCTACGACGCATTCGATCACTGCCATTTCGACTTTAGCAACTTCTAAGCTTTCCCGGGTACGTTGTTTCGCTCCCTAGATAGATCAAAAGGGATAGAACGTTTTGCTACGAATCCTCAATTGCCGCAACCATGTTGAAGAGCAAGACAAAAGGAGCCGCTCCATTGTTAGCGGTGGTAGTGCCGACGCTACACGCGTGCATGGCCACCCTCCTCCCGGCCTCCACGTAACCATGCATCTTACACCCGCTCAACAGTGTATTGAGCGCCACACTGTCCGGCAAGTACGGCATTGTGTGTAGCAGCTCCTCGGCGTCGTACACACGGCCAGCCCTGGCTAGCAAGTCGACCGTACAGCAAAAATGGTCCCTGGTGGGCATCTGGCCGTGATAGTCGTGGTTCATCAGCCTCACCGCCTCGCAGCCTCGATCCACCAGCCCTAAATGGCTGCACGCGTTGATCACCTCCACGAACGTGATATCGTCTGGCCTCTCGCCGTGCAGCCGCATTGAGTCGAACAGCGCGAGGGCCTCTTGCCCTAGGCCGTTTCTCGAGTATGCTCCAATCATCGCGTTCCACGCCGCGAGATTCCTCTCAGGCATTCGCTCGAAAAGGGCTCTCGCGGCAGAAAGATCCCCGGACTCGGCATATGCGGAAGTTATTCCTGTCCATGCCGCGGAATCTGGGTCGGGGATGGAATCGAATACGGCACGTGCGCGGGAAAGATTCCCGGATTGCGCGTGTGCGGTCATAAGCGCAAATGCGGCCAGAAAATGGTTTTGCGGCATTTTGTGGAACAAGGAGCTCGCCTCGCTCAGATGCCCGTTCTGGGCATACGACGATATCAACGCGTTCCACGACGCCATGTCGCGCTCGATCATGCGGTCGAAGAGAGCCCGGGCCTGGCGCAAATCGCCGCTCGCCGCGTGGCCCTGGACGACAGCCGTCCACGTCACCACGTCGGCGGCCTCGGCCACGTGGGCGAAGAGGGCAAGAGCCAAGTGGACGTTCCCGGCTTCGCCATGCGCCGCGATCATCGCGTTCCAGGAGACGAGGTCCCGCTGGGGAAGGCGATCGAAGACGACTTGTGATTGGTCGAGGTCGCGCGCGTCGATGTGGCACTGGAGGATCGTGTTCCAGGAGATTATGCTGCGCTCCGCCATGGAATCGAAGAGCTCGCGCGACTCGGCGCATTGCCCTAGCTGGGAATGCGCTGCGAGCATCGTGTTCCAGGAGAAGAGATTCCGGTAGGACATCCGATCGAAGAACCCTCTGGCGCGATCGATGCCACGGGACTGGCTGAAGCCCTGGATCATCGCCGTCCAGGTGATGACATTGCGCTTGGGCATCTCGTCAAAGAGCGTTGTGGCCTGATCCAGATGCCCTCTGGAGGCAAATGCTGCGACCATTGCATTCCAGCAGGCAAGGTCTCGCTCGGGGATTTTCCAGAAAAGATCGGATGCCTCGCGGAGCTGGGAGTGGTCCGCGTAGATCACGATCATCACTGTCAAAGAGACCACTGTGTGCTGGGGCATCTGGTAGAAAATTTCTTGCGATTGGGCAAAATGCCCGCTCCTGGCAAATGCCGCAAGGATCGAGTTCCACGACACGGCGTTCCTCTCAGGCGACGTGTCGAACATTTTCTTGGTTTGGCTCGTGAGATTGTTGTGAGCGTAGGCCGCGATCATCATGTTCCAGGAGAAAACATTGGGCTGCGGGATGGATTCGAAGGCCTTGCGCGCCTCGTCGATGCTCTTGCACCGCCCATACATCTCCACCACCAGGTTTCGGAGCAGCGTGTCGCCGCCCACACGGCTGCGCAGGAGCCGCTCGTGAATCGCTCGCGCGTCGCTCAGGCTCTTGCAGCACTTGATCAGGCGCTCGAACGCATCGATCTCGCGCAGGAAGGGTCGTGGCATTCATCTCTGTGTGGGTAAATGCGACAGCTAGAGCTGCCGGTTTCGATCTGACACTCAGTGGATACAAACTGTGTGTGATGCTCATCCAGCAGTCACCACAAAGGCGATCATCATCGTGTCAAGAACGCCACAAACACTAAAACCCTACCCAAGAACCCTAGCATGTTTTACCCAAGAGCCCTAGCATTTCCCCATTCGTTTTATTCATGAGAGTGGCGGCATCCAAGCTCAGGAAAAGCGGCATTGCGCAGCGCATTTCATCCGGTAAGGTGATCTCTCGATCGACGCGGAGGCTCATACGCATTGCAGTGAGTGACGATCTCGTGAAAATCCGTCAAGCCGAGAGGCGCAAGGTCGAGATTGTCACGGATCAATCTTTCGAGCTCCCAGGTGGGAAATTCCTCCACATTTCGTCCGATCACAGCAAACACAAGGGCACGAAGTTCGCATTTCTCGGCACTTCTCTCTTCCCTGGAAGAACCGAACCGTGCCTTCTTGTAAAAAATGGTGAGTTTTTCTCTCTTTTTGTTTTCTTGGCTTTCGAGAACTTTGTTTTAGAAGGACGATGCTTCATTTTTAACTGCGGAGACAATGTTTATCGAGAACTTCAGCGTGCCTCTTATCTCGAGAAGCAGTGCACGATTTTTGTAACGAGCATGGACATCAACAATGTATCCAAAGAAGTTCTTTTCATTTTTTCGTTCTAGCTCGAACCTTGACAACGAAAATTTCCTCCCAAATGGAACCATCAGATTGTTGGACTCCCTGGTAAGAAGCTCTTTCTTTCTCTCGTTTTTATTCTTCTCACCGTTGCGATTTATCATCCTTCCAGGTCTATTGTCGCCTGGAGTTTTACCCCCACCCGTGGTGATCTATGGTCCTCAAGGTCTGCGGCAGTACATTAGAGCTACGCTACGAGCCTGCTTTGCTAGAGTTCCCACAAAGTATACCGTGCATGAACTCCTTTTAAACAATGTAAGGACCTTGTGTTGCAGTATGCTGATTTGTATATGGTTTTTTTTCTTTTCAGGACTTGAGAGTTGGAAATCAGCAATCTCAAGACTTGATGCACGAAGATGAGCTTTATGGAGACGATCTGCTGTGCTCTGGAAACGATTCATATCCACTGTAAGTCCTTTCGTTATTTGCGTCGTAATGAAAGCCTTGTCTAACTCTGTGCAGCGTCGAAGATGACCACCTCAACGTGATATCCTGGTCTTTGTGCCAAAAGAAACAAAGCTGCGGTTTCATCTACAAGGAAACGGGAACGTAAGTTTTCTATTATGTTCCCAAACACAGTGGGTAGCAAACTAATGATGTCACTTGAAAGGATTGCAGTTCGGGAAACTCCATTGGTAAGCTCTACGCTAAGCGTCTTCCACTAAAGTTGAGAATTCTACGTAGCTTTGGTGAGCCGGAAGAGCGAGAGAGTACCATGGTGCTTGAAAGCCAAAGACGTGGATGTTCTCGTTCATGAAATTGACAATACCATCCATGGAGCTCGTAAGTGTCCCACCCTCTAATCCATGAAATAAGAAAACTTCTCATGTCAATCCAGAAATCGCTGGGGATCAAGCCAAGGCTATCAATGCCAAGTCCCTTGTGATGAGCGGCTGTTCAGTGAGTCTATTTTTGTTGCAATGCAACTGTATGTTGACAAAATTTTGGCAGAGAACTGGAAGCCAGGAACTTGAAGCAGCTAAGTCGAGATTTGGAAAAGCAAGCGTAGCTCTAAGCATGGACCACGTTACCTTCACTTTGAATAACAATGGATGATCAAGCTATTTTATGGTTTGGACACCTTATAATCACTTTAGAAGCTTTCTAAGTATGTTCTAGCATATTTTCACCTTCAATTTTCAGTTAAAAACTCGTTTTATAAGAAAAAGCCTTTCCACACACAAATGGATTATAAAGCCAAGTTTGAGGGTTCGGAGAGGATGGTCTTGTTTCTCTTGGTTAAATATGACATTGTTTCGTTTGTCAAAATGCTCTAGAGTGAGATTGCAATGGCCCACTTATGTGTAACATTGTGTTGCATCCATAAATTCTTACTTTCCACCATCTTAACATTTGCTGTCAAAAAATAAAAACAGTGCTTTATCATCCCAATTATTTAAATCTATAGATTTATATTTCCTGTAACAAAAATAAAGAATACCATTCAAAATAAATAATTAGTATTAGTATTGCATGATATGTATATTCTAAAAGTAATAAAAACCACAACCCCAAATTTAATTTCCAAGCAAAAACAAGAAAAAACAAAAAATACATACCTTATATAAATTGAGCTTATGTTCATAAAGGTTTAAAAACAATTATAAATTTCCATGTAACATATATATAAATTTTCGTTTTACAAAAAATATAAATTACTTTAAAAAATACCTAAAAGCAATAATAGCCATTACTAAAATATTGGTACTGACATATTTGTAAACAATACTATCCTTTATAAAAGAGGGGTGGTGAACCACATTACTAAGCTATTAATTATGAATAAAATAATTTCATAAAAATTTAATACACATAATGATATAATTCATTAAATTTTAGTTTCCAACAACAATTTTATATTAAAAGCTTTGTCCTTATGTTTGCCCAAAATTTTAATTCATAAATTTAGCTATCAAATTTAATTCCTAAATGTCCCATAATATTTAAATTATAAATTATTTTAGTTTTTAATGAGTTAAACATTAAAAAAATAGTAAATATTCTCCATATAACTAGATATTAATAGACAATATTTAAGTCCAAATTTCCATTTAAATTACAACAAGTTGAAAATGTATAATATCAATTATTACTAAAACTGTTGAATATTTTTTTACTTAAATAAATTTTTCAACTTCATTCTAAATTGATAATAATATCTTGTGTATATAAATTGATAACTCTTTATAAGATAACCCTGAAGTTTCATAGGCACAAATGGATTACTCCCATAAGATAGTCTTAGGGTTTCACATAGCAAATACCCTATGGGAACATAATGTTAAGCTCATTTATTATTTAAATTTTATATAAATGATGCATGTCACTAACTCTAAATTTAGAAAAATTATGACATTATAGTAATAAAAAAAATTTAAAAAATTTAAAAAAAAAAAATTAAAAGATACTATAAGATTTGGTATTTTTTTAATTTTAATTTTATGTTTTTTTGTGGCTTAAATTAACTTACTTAATGTCATTTCTCTTATGCATTATCTAATTATGCACATTACACATTATGCATTAAGCATTACTCAAAAAAAAATACTCATATAACAAATGTCCTATAATTTTTAATTTCTAGAGAAATAATTATTTTTTCTAAATGTTTGTTATAGTATTACCACAAAAAAAAAATCATTTTAGGAAAATTTGGTAATTTTTAATATTATATATATATTTAGTAAAAACTTTAACCTTAATATTTTTTATGTTGTTGTTAATTATAATAAAAACATATAAACCTTATAATCTCCAATAACCATTAAATGTTTTAATTTTTAATTATTCAGTTATTTATTGATTCTTTGCATTTATAGTTTGCAAAAATAGTTATATTTAAAATATAAATATGAATTAAAGTTTTATATATTTATATTAATTTATATAATATAATGAGTAAATTGGAAATTTAAAAATAAGGACACATAAGGAATATATATAGACACACACACACACACACAATTTACACAGAGCTAAATTAATATAATAATTATAATGGATATCAAATTAATATAGTTGGTTAAAAATTGTGGTTTTCATAGGATTAGAATAGAAAATCTTTGCATCGAGACAAGCAAGTGCAATTCATCCCAAGAAGAGCTGTTATTGGAGACAGCCGCAGCATTGAAGAGTGGCATATCCAGCAAGATCTTGTCTATTATCATACGTTTTCTCACTGTTTGAGGAGAATTAGTAATCCAAGTAATGTTGCATTGCAACATTCAGTCCGGGCAGCAGAAGCAATGGGAGAAGCACTTTTCTTGTCACCGAGGTTTCTACCTGTTGCTACGAGCAATTCTCTGAGGCTTTAGAAAAGCATTACGCGAATTTTGCTTAGCCTCCAAACAGGCGGCAACATGAATTTTGAAATTTAGGGTTTATGAGCCCTAGCTATGGAGGAAGAGTGGCGAGGCCGCCCTCGTCTTCGGTTGCGTGACCTGGAGCGCTTCACGGGTCCCTTCACAGTTGCCGCAGATCCAGGTAGTGATGCGCCCGCATTCGGTGTTTCCAAGCGCCAGAAGGTACAAGTAGAGGAACCTAGAGGGGGTCTGCTGCTGGCTTCAAGGGTTCCGTGGGTAATCGTAGGCAAGATCCAGCTCTGGAACGAGGGATTTTGCTGCCACTCCTCGTCTGGGCATTCTGGGGATAGCTTCGCCCTTGCAGATGATACAGGTGTGGGGTGTTGCTTGCTAAGGAACGTGGATCAGTGTCCTCTGGGTTCCAAAGTGGTGATCACGTCTTTCAACTACATTCCCTCTATTCGAAAGCTCAAGCCTGAGAAAGCAAGGGAGGATTTTCTCTCCGTTTGTCTGGAGGTCCATGAGCTTCATGTCGTGCAAGATGGATCGATACTTCAGGTTTTTCCACGGTTGTGTCTCAGTCCAGCGTCGGCCGACGTGAAGAATGAGATGCTGGAGACGCCACCTCTGAAACGAAGTGGTGGAAAGGCTCGGCTCACGATGCGGGGATGCTTGCATTGTTTTAGCCCATCCTTCGCTCTTCCCTGCACACGCTCAACGTTTTCCATGGCGAAGAGCTTGTTCGCTGGGGGTGAAAAGGGCGATGGACAGGTCCTTAAAGGCTTTCTTGTGGAGCTAAGGAACTGTAGTCATCAGCGTCTACGCTCGAAGAAAGATGCGGAAGAAGATGGTCAGCTGGTTCGGGTTTTCTTCTCGGGGGCTTTGTCTGCCTGGCGTCCTGTTCTACTGGATTGCGTCGGTAGCTGGATTTGCATCACCGGTCTAAGAAAGAAAATGATCAGCGTTGGGCCGAAAGACTTGCACCTGATTTTGGCGGCCACAAGGACTACTTTCGTCAGCCGAACACCGGATGAACTTGAGCGTCCGAGAAGCTTGCGGACTGATCTGGTTCGGGACAAGAAAACTTTTGGCTCCTACGTTGGTGTAGTTACTGGGGTACAATTCGAAGGAAGGATGGTGGAGCTGGATGAGAACGTTTGCTTGCTACTGACTCACCAGGAGCATACTTTTCTGCATGGTCTTCGCGTTGGAGCAACGGTAAAAACATTTCCGTTTCTTCTTTACGGTTTTTTCCTGACTATCAATGGCTTACAGATACTCGCTCTTAATGTACATATCGCTGCTGTAGGCTGGGGCTGGAGAAAGTACCTATTGCTGGGTGCTTGCTTTCGTTCTACTGTAAAAATTGTTTGCTTTTCTTCGTTAGATACTGTGTAAGTTCTTACGGTCCTTTTTAACTTTGTGTTACCTTCTCTATGTTCAGCATTTCAGTGCCTGTGAGAACCGCATGCCTAAGTAAATTTCAGCACTTATCTTTTACAGAGACATTTGGGTAAGCTTTCCGTTTCCATTCTCACGAAAAAAAAAATGCGAAGACTTTCTTGAGCAGGTTACTTCGAGCAGTCTTAGATTTGAGAAAGAAGCTGGGCAGTGGACCGGATGTTTTCGATTGCATTCAAACGACGTCGACGCGTGTTTCTCGGGTATGTACTAATGCAAAGGTCCATGAATTTTAGCTTCCGCGTTCAGGATGGTTTGAAGGAGTTTATGTCTCACGAGCAATCTTGCTTCCTTGGACAAAGGGGAAATATTAAGTCGTCTTTGCAGGTTTCTCTCTTTCCATTTTGAAGCTTCAAACTCCAGGCATCCTGTATCGGCAGAGAATTCCACCCTTTTTGGAACTCAAAGAATATCTTCAGCAACTCTGGGAGGACTCTAGTTCATTTATCTGGCAGCAAAAACAGCAGAGCAACCGTTTCAATCGTTGCATTATTTCCAGTGACGACTTGAATTTTGTTGTTTTGGGCCGCCTCGAGGTATACATGCTTCATAAGTTTTGGAAAATAACAAGGCGCTGACAGGTCTCTAAAACCTCGGGGGCCCTTCAGTTTTTTGATGCGACGCACGAGATACACGTCGTAATTCCGGACCTCCATTGCTCATCGATGCTATATCAAGTTTACAAGGTTTTGCGCTTTTATTCTTCTTTGTTCGTGAGTAGTCTTTCTTTCAGGTGTCCAAATTTGATTTAGTGATGGAAGGAACGCCTGGGAGCTGCCATTTTTATTTTGTGTTCAGCTCCAAAGATGCTTACCGCTGTTCAGCTTTGGGATGCGAAATACCGAAGTCCAGTCCACACTGGATTTCTAGCTTGCCTAACCTACCGCCGTCATCATCGTCTACAATAAGCTTTCGCGCGAGGGTATGTTTTGTTTACATACAACATTGTCCATACACTGAAATGCGAGCTTGTACAGGTTGTTGCCGTATCAAAACTCGTGCTCGTCTGGAATAAATGGCTAGGCTACACTCCTGCCAAAAGTCTCGTGTCCAACATCAATGTCTCTTTTGGTTGTTTCGTCATTGGTAAGCGATTGCTCCACTTGTACCAACCTGTGCCTCCAAACTTTATATCCAGATGATGGCTCTGGCGTAACCGAGTGCTCGGCTCACGGAGTGCTTGCTGATCACCTCTTGGGACTGAAATTTGATCGGGACCAATGCGTTACAAGGCACACGAACGCCTTGTGTGCCATTCTTCGCAACTATGAGCGCATTGTCTACGAAAGAGACCAGAGGAAAGACTTCTCGCAAAGTTATCGAGTTCTAGGCGATGGAAGTACACCTCTAAGCGAAAGCGACCATGCGATCATCGACATGTTTGCAACTAGAGCCTGTCATCGTCCTCCTATGGTAAGTAATTGGTATACATTTCAAAGGCGGCTTGTATTGACGAGGAGTTTTTTCTTGCTACTTGCAGTCTCTGGTTTGCGAGATTTGTCCTAGAGAACTTGACAACAAAGCTCGCGTGCTTGTGAGATCAGTAGAAGAGATATCATACGTTAGAGAAGCTCACAATCTTAGCAAAGAGATCGAGCTTGCACTGAACAAAAACAAAGTTTTGTAGCTCTTGTGTTAATGTGTGTAGTTGTCTTCCGCTAGAGTCGCTTGGATGACAGTGTAGTGATGGTTTAAGCTCGGTTGTCTGTGTAGGAAAAACTTCCCACCGAGAGCTCCATTGTCTGGATTTGAGGTTCTAAAGATGACCCTTCGAAATCTCTGATGCACCATAGCCATTGCACACCTGAAGAAGAAAACAAGCTTAGCAAGCAGCAAACAAAGCTCACTTCACGAAAACAACCCTTACATTGCACAGGGCTCCCTCGTCAAGTATATGTCGAATCCCGTGCAGAGGTAAGGCCGAGAAGCCTCGACCGTGATAGAGGAGGACCTCGACTCGATGTGGATGCTCTCGGCAGCGCTGGCTTCGCAGCGTTGTCTCTTGACGGATAGCGTAGCTTCGTCGCATTCTTTATCGTCGGGAAACAAACGTCGATCCCTCTCGGACGCTTGCTCAATGGCGACCATAGCTGCGTGCCGGAGAGGATGCCAGCCTCCACTGCAAGATGAACAATCCGTGCAAGATGGTGGAGTGGATTCATCATAGCCACTAGCAATTACCTGGCCGATGGATGGATCAACTATCACAGCACCATTTGAAAGCTGAGCCAAAATAAATAAATCAAAACACATATAAGTTCTTGGGAGGTTTACATCAACCAAGATAGCTTACCCGGCCATGGTCGATTGCCAGTGAAGCTTGATGCATCGCTCTCACCATGAATGCAGCTATCGTTCTCTCTTCGTCTTCGTTAAACTGGATTTTCGAAGGCCTTGCACTTTGAAGAAAAAACAAAGCTGAGATCACAGCTAGTGGTTTCGCTCACACTTACCTGCTGGGGTGGAACGTTGTCGGCCAGAGATTGTATTGGGTAGCCCATTCTTCCCTGTCTGCAGCCGGATGCTTAGGAATCTACAAGGAGAAGTAAAGTCACTAGATTGAAGAACTGATAGAACGTCCTAAACTACCGACCTTGGCAATGAAAGTTTCCAAGCTGTGCTTCTCAACCAGCTCGGCTACTTGCGATGGAATCGCGCTTGAATCATCGGTTCGTGTGCACAGAATGATCGAAAGGGGACCTGCTTTTGAATCATCTTATACTACCTTCTAAGAAAACGGAGTCACGCACCTTCTGTATCGCGCTTCGATCGAATTCGTTTTATATGGCTCAAGTCAGTGAGAGGAAATACGACACTAAGCTCCCTAAAAAACACAACGTAAGATTCTACCTTTCACGATGAGAAAAGAACAAAGAAAACACTCACTTTATAAGAACACTCGCAAGCTTTCCTTGAATGTGCGCAGCAAAAGCATCCACTGCGCCGATATGTTCAGATACCAAACAATCACACTCTGTCCCATACCTGTTGCCGATGAATCGACCTCCTCGTGGCCAGGAATGTGGACGATCGACCAGCGCTGTCGATCCATCTGCCAGGAATTTGTGGGAGCAAGTCTAAGCCGCCTGGCAAATCGCTCATACCAGCAGCTTTCGCCCTCTCTCCCAGATCGCTGTGGGAAATGCCGATCCGGAGCAGCACGCCGACGCTAGCGCCATTGCCGCTCGCACGATTTCCCTCTTCCCAAGAACCCTAAAATGTTAAACCCTCAATAGTGACGTGGCCACGTAGATGACGTGGCGTCTACGTCACTGGGATACTTTTTGATATATAAAACCTCCTCCCCGAAGAAGGCATCGCGCTTTCGCGAAGATGGACAGGGCTGGGGACAAGCTACTAGTGGATTTCCTCTCTTTCCTCGCCGATTACGTCCCCACATTCCCGGACGAGCTCGTCGATTACTACGCCGCGGCGGCGGGATTCCAGTGCTCGGATGTGGGCGTCAAGAGGCTCCTGTCCGTGGCGGCGCAGAAATTCGTGGCGGAGATCGCCAGCGACGCGATGCAATACTGCAAGATGCGGCAGGGCGTGGGGGGATCGTCGTCGGGGGCCAAGCAGCAGCGCAAGATGGTGCTCAGCCACGACGATCTTGTGAGCGCGCTCAAGGAATACGGTGTGGAGATGCGGCGTCCGGAATATTTCGCGGATACATCCAGTGCTGGCGCCGCCGCTGGCGCCGCTGGGAATCTCGCGCCATCGGCCACCGCCGCTGCTCCCCCGGATCAATGATCTTCTCTTCCTTTCTAGGGTTTTGCATAGGGTTTAGATAGATTCCTAGGCGGGCGATGGCGCTGTGATTTCGTTCAGGCGGAGAATGCGGTGCCTTGCGGCCCATGGCGGCATCCAGCTCCCGCAGCCACGGCTCGTTTCAATCGGAGGCGGCGTGGGAAGCCTCTCTTCTTGTAGATGGAAGACGAACAGGTGTCTCCGGGCGAGAAATCTGGAGCTATGGCGCAGCACAGCACGGCATTGGAATGGCAAAACTCGCTGCCAAGCGTTTTGGAGCGCTGATTCTTCTAGTTCCAGCATCAAAAGCGAGAGCGAGAACTTTGGACAACGCAAAAGACCGGTAAGAGTCGTTTAGACAAGAAAAAAAAAGTCTCATTGATCTAAGTTCTTCCATCCACAGGTGTTGGAATGGGTTGTGCCTGCTGTTCTCGCGGCCGCCACCATCGTTTTGGCCTTGCGATCCGGCAGGGCCTTCGCCGCAACGTTTGAGAAGAATGTGGCGAGGGAGGCATCGACAAACCAGCTCGGCATTGCACTGGTGAGTGCTTGGGCTGGATTGATCGCTGGAGGCCTCCACACTCTCACTGGCCCGGACCACTTGGCAGCTCTAGCGCCCCTTTGCATCGGCCGACGATCAAAGCTCGAGAGTGCCGCCGTTGGTGCGGTGTGGGGATGCGGTCACGACGCCGGCCAGGTCCTCTTCGGCTTCTTCTTCCTGCTGCTCAAGGACAGGCTCAAGATCGAGGTGCTCCGGACGTGGGGAGCTCGAGTGGTGGGCTTGACTCTCATCGCGATCGGAGCAGTGGGGATCAAAGAAGCACAGGAATCGCCAGCCGTGGAGGAAGAGGCTGCTGTGACGAAGAAGAAATCGCTGGGCTTTACTTTCGCGACCGGGATCGTCTATGGCTTGCAGCCGGACGCGCTTCTCATGATCCTTCCAGCGCTGGCGATGCCGTCCGGACTGGCCGGGGTCTCCTTCCTCGCGATGTTTCTGGTTGGAACCGTGGCGGCCATGAGCAGCTACACCGTGTTCTTGGGATCTTGCAGCCAGGCGCTTCACGAGAAGATCCCGTGGATCACTCGCAAGCTCTCGTGGGCGTCCTCGATCGTAGCCATCGCGTTTGGCTTCGCTGTTCTAGCGGGAGAAATTTTTGGTCTAAGCTTCTATTGATCGAATGTATTGTCTCTAATCCATCTTAAAGAACGTCGCGGGTTCGACTCTCCTAAGTATCGAATCTCCATTGGAGCCACGTGGCAGGCCTCGCGCTTTAGCGTTGGAGATAGATTGCTAGCGCGCGAGCTTCATTGGAGCAATGCCCTGCTCCAAATGCCTTGCGTCGGGCACATTGTGGACGCATGGCGAGGGTTTGGTTGCGCCATGGCGGCGACGCCTTGCGGTTCCATCGATTTGCAAGCGGCAGAGAGCTTCGATTCGGATCGTAGATCAGGATGTGAGGCTGCATTCCAGGGTTTCCAACAGGATGCCGCCAGATTTGGCAGGGTCGATCGGCTTCTCGTCGGATTTCCAGGTAGTGTGTGACATTTTCGAGATGTAGAGCTCGTTTTCATGGTGATTTTGTCAGCCGGATCGGTTTCCAGCGTTCCCTGGCTCGGATTTCACGAATGTGAGACAGAGAGAAGAAAATATCAACAATTTGCGACGCTTGATCCTCCAGGTGGCGACTGTGAGTGGTTTTTTCGCGTTGCAATCACTCACTCAGGCCTGGGCTGGAAGTTCCATGGCCGACGCTCAACAAAGCGCATCATTTTTGGGATTTTTGGGAAGCATTGACGAGATTCAAAGCGGTTTTACATTGGTACCTAGAGAATTTTCTTTCATGGAGGAACGATCTTTTGAAAGTTTTGCAGGCGTTTCTTCTAATATTTTTCTCGGAGTTGGGAGACAAAACATTCTTTATTGCGGTAATCTCCTCCAATCTCGAGTTTCCATGAATTGTGTTTATACAGGCAATCTTGGCGAGCAGGAGATCCAATGTTGCTGTTTTTACTGGAACATTTGGAGCTCTTGTGTAAGCTATAGCTATAGTTCATACGTTATCTTTGCTTGAAGATACGTTGTTCCTTCTTTCATGCAGAGCCATGACATTGATATCTGTAATTTTAGGACGGGCATTTCATTATATAGACGGTGTTCTACCTTTCAGGTAATCAGAAGAACTGGAATCTCAAACCAATCTCCAGATCTCTTGCAGCTTAGGCAGCAACGAAATACCGCTAGACGACCTTGCCGCTGTTGCTTTGCTGGTAAACATTCCATTTTCGTTTGCGTTTCCTTGTTATCAAAAGGACTTCCATGTAGATTTACTTCGGAGTGTCTACGCTGCTGGACGCTTCTTCTATGGAAGGATCAAAATCACAAGAGGAGCAACAAGAGGTACGCAAAAGCTCATAGAATTCACGTCAGCTATCTCGTGCTTGCTGACCTCTAGGCGGAACTGGCCGTTGCTGGAGTAAACGGTGGCGGCGGCTCGACGAGCAGCGTAGTTCTCTCAACATTCGCTCTGGTGTTCGTGGCTGAGTGGGGAGACAAGTCGTTCTTCTCGACAATAGGTGAATGGATCAAACTTCCAGTCCTTTGCTTGGTTCAAACCAACATGAAAAAACTTGACGCGAGTTCTTCGTCCACCAGCTCTAGCAGCGGCGTCCTCTCCTGTTGGTGTGGTGGCTGGAGCTATCGCTGGTCATGGCGCTGCTACATTGGTAAGAATCTCGACTCCATGGCTCGAACGAGAGTGTTTTACAGGCTTTCTTCTTTCCAGCTCGCTGTTCTTGGTGGATCGATTATGGGAAACTACATCTCCGAAAAGGTTGGAGCTAAAGCCCAAATCGAGAAAAATAATCTTTCGCATTTTTCATCTTTTCTACAGGCGATTGCGTACATTGGCGGGACGCTATTCCTCGTGTTTGCTGGAGAGACGCTCTTCGAGATTCTCACTGGGTCCAAGTAAAACGTAAATTATTGCACAGAGACAAGGATTTTTACCAGTGTGACCAAGAGTCAAAATGGCTTTGTTCTACCTCCAGTAGGGTTTTTGGTGGAATGGGAATGGCGCGGGGTAATTCAAAGGGATTTTGGCAGGGATTTTCAATGGTAGCGTAGATTGGATCGAAGCGGCGGAAGCGCGAGATGATGATCGGCTATACTGACGATAAGCCTGACGATAGCCCGATGCTACACGGCATTGAGCTTTCAGGCCCCCTTTCGCAGCCTCCTTCGATCCGAGCTGAGGATCGGAAGAGGGGAAGTTCCAAGCGCGTAGCTCCGGATTGCGTGGCCAAGCACGAGCACTTGATCCAGTCGGGTCCTCTGGGAAAATGCGACAATCCGCTGTGTACGACTTGTCCGGCCTATCTTGACCCCAATTTCCACAAGAAGGAGAAGGGCTATGTGGTGAGTTTTGAGTGAATTCTCGCATCCATTGCTCAAGAGTTTCCACTTGTAGGGAAGTGTTGCGGTGCCTGGATGTTTACGAAAGTTGTGGCTAGTGCTCCGCGAGATTTGGTACCACTTGTCACGCGGAGTCATAAATCCTCACACCAAGTTCGTCCAACGCTGGAACAAGTTCTTTGTTCTGTCTTGTCTCTCCAGCGTTTTCCTGGATCCACTATTTTTTTTCCTCCTCGCGGTAAAGCAGGTGAGCTTCTTGTTAGCTTTCGGCATCAGATCGGACAGAATTATTTGGAACTGTTCACTGTTTCATGGCAGTACCAAAAGTGCATTTACATCGACCAGAAAGCTTCCACTGTTTTGCTAATCTTGAGAAGTATCACTGACACGATTTATCTCATGCACATCCTCCTCCAGGTGACGGTTTTGTCTTTCCCTTTCCTTCTTTCAAGAAATTCAAGTTCACGTGATTAGATCATCGCAGTTTCGGCTGGCGTATGTTGCTTCATCGGTTCTTGAAATCGAGAGGCCAGAGAGGAGATTTTTGTCCGGCCGCAAAGTTTCCTTTGCAACTCGGGATCTTGTCGACAGTCCCAGGAAAATAGCGTGGAAGTACTTGACGGGATGGTTTTTGCTGGATCTTTTGTCAACTTTGCCTCTTCCACAAGTAAGCTCAATTTTTTTTCTTGATTTTACGCTAAATCACTTCATGATCATCCAGATTATGATCAAACTTGTTGTGCCGCGTTACATGGGAGCATCTGGTGCAAACTACTTCAAAAATGTGCTCCGCGTCACAATGCTACTCCAATGCGTCCCACGCATAATTAGAGTGCTGCCGTTTCTTTCAGGATATACTTCTATCGGTTTTATCTTTGAGACCGCTTGGGCGAACTTCGTCATCAATATTCTTCTCTATCTCCTTTCAGGCCACGTCGTTGGCTCTTGCTGGTACCTTTTCGGGTTGCAGGTATGGTTTTAGTACTTTACCAATCACAAGTATTTCAAGGGTAACACTGTTTTCTACGTATGCAGAGAGTGAACCAATGTTTGCATAACGCTTGCAGAAATGCGACCAGTTCACGATGCATTGGAGACTTTCTAGACTGCGGCAATGGAACCCTGCAAGAACGTCTCATTGGAAATGCCGTCAGGAGCTTGTGGGTGAACAATGAAAACGCTACTCAGTGCTTTGACAGTCCATCTCGCGTCTTCACATACGGTATATATCAACCTGCTGTGCTGGTGACTACACATAATAACAGCTTTACCAGATATATTTTCTCCTTAGTTTGGGGGTTTCAGGTAAGTGGAAGTTGGAAGCTGTTGATAGATGTTGCTCGCTTCGTGATCAATGCAGCAAATCAGTACGTTAGCTGGAAACCAGATTCCGAGCCTGTTCATCTGGGAGGTCGTTTTTGTGATGACGGTCATTGGACTGGGCCTGCTACTGTTAACGTTGCTCATCGGCAACATGCAAAGCTTTCTACAGTCCCTCGGTCGCAGGTATCTCTAGACTTTCGCCTTGGTTCTCACGTCTGTTTTTTTCTCAGATCCTTGGAAATGCAGTTAAAACGATACGACGTTGAGAAATGGATGAACCGCCGTCATCTACCTCAAGACTTAAGAAAGTATGACTGAATGTTTTTAGCTTCTCGTGAAATTTACTTTGTGTTCTTTCAAGGCGAGTGAGACAATTTGAGAGATTTCACTGGGCAGCAACCACCGGTGTCGGGGAAGAGGAGCTGTTGGAGGACTTACCGGAAGATCTGCACAGAGATATTCGCAGGCTGCTCTTCACAGATCTCGTGCAAAAGGTTTTTTCCGAGTACATGATTGACAAACTTCACCATGGTTTTCTATTTTCCAGGTTCCTCTTCTAAGAGCCATGGGTGAGCACTCGCTCGACCAGATCTTCCAGCGCTTGCGTCAAAAGCTCTACATCGACGGCTGCGAGGTCGCGCGTCGTGGTGTTTACGTCCACCAGATGCTCATCATTGTCCGAGGAACGCTGCAAAGCAAAAACGAGGACGGCTCTGACGCAATGCTGCGAGGCGGAGATATCTGCGGCGAAGAGCTGCTGACGATGTCTCTCTTCAACTCTCGCTTCTCCAAGCAAATCCGAGCCATCTCCACTAGAACAGTCGTGTGCCAAGGTAACGTCGAGGCCTTTTCCATCGGGAGGCAAGCTCTGGAAGAAGTGAGCCGCGACTTCAAGTTGCTACAAGATCCACAAGTGCAAAGAGCTATCAGGTACACAAGTTTTGTTCTTCCTCGAAGATTTTCTACAAGAAAATTCACGAGTCTTCTTTCTAGATGTGAATCGCACTTCCTGAGATCATGGGGAGCGGGGAAGATCCAAACGCTATGGAGATATAGAAAGAAGATGCGCGCAAACAAGAGGTGGCCTAGCGCAATATACAAGAAGAAATGAACGGCTGGATCGTGATGTTTAGTCTGACGGCTGCGATTCGAGATGGATTTTCCCGCCCGGCGGTAAAACCCGCGTTTCAAGCGCACGCTATGGCTCCCAGATTTTCGCGACGTCCTCGATGATCTGCGCCATGAGGGGGAATTGCTACTGCTGCTCGCGCTCTATAAATCCTCTCCACTTGGCCGCCTCCTCAAGCGGATCCATCAATCCGGCTTCACAATGGCGGCGGCAGACTGGGTGAGGATGATCGATGTCGTTTTGGATGCTAGCAAGGTGCGCAAGCGAGCGGAGGAGGAGGAGAAGGAAGTGGCGGCCAAGGCGACGACATCGTCCGTGGTTCTGGCATGGCGAGACCTCACGGTCTCGGTTTCTTCCAGTCAGGGAGGGCAGGCGCGCAAGGTTCTTCACGGATTGACAGGCTATGCCGAGCCCGGGCGATTGCTGGCCGTGATGGGACCGTCCGGCTCCGGGAAATCGACGCTGCTCGACTCCCTCGCTGGTAATATCGTGTGCTTGCATCGATGTCTCTTGAAATTTCGGGAATCTTGCGTGATCTTGGCGTCACAGGGAGGCTTGCGAGGAATGCCAAGAGAGAAGGGAGCGTGTGGATCAACGGGCAGAAGCAAAAGACCTCGTTTGGAACGGCTGTGAGTGATCTTAGTTTTCTTTCTTCTTTGGGGCCGATTTTTCTTTTGTTCTTTTTCTTTTTCGTGTAAGGCTTATGTGACACAGGAAGATGTTTTGATCGGGACTCTCACAGTTAGAGAGACGATCTTCTACTCAGCGAAGCTGCGGCTGCCTGATAAGATGCCGCTGGCCGAGAAGATCGCCATGGTGGAGACGGCGATCTTGGAGATGGGGCTTAGCGAATGCGCCGACACTGTCATTGGGAATTGGCACTTGCGGGGGCTTAGCGGCGGTGAGAAGAGAAGGGTCAGCATTGCTCTGGAGCTCCTTCTAAGGCCACATTTGTTGTTTCTGGACGAGCCCACGAGCGGTCTTGACAGGTATAGCATACACTTCGTGTTCTTCATGGAAAACTAAGTTGTCTCTTGACAATGTTTTTGACATTTGTTGTGTAGTGCTTCGGCGTTTTTTGTGACGAAGACTCTGCAGAAGCTAGCTAGAGATGGCCGCACGGTTTTGGCCTCGATTCACCAGCCCAGCAGCGAAGTTTTTGCACTCTTTGACGATCTCTTCCTCCTCGCGAACGGGAGGACCGTTTACTTTGGTGAATCTCGATCGGCTCACCAGGTACTGCCAACTTCTTCCAAGTTGATTGATCAGCTAAAGAACGCTTAAAATTTTCTTCAGTATTTCTCCGCAGCGGGATTTCCCTGCCCTCCGCTGCGCAATCCCTCGGACCATTTTCTGCGAGCCATCAACTCGGACTTTGACAGAGTCAAGCAAACTCTGAAAGGATCTTACATCGATGACCAACTGGATTCCAGTGACCCTCTGAACAAAATCACGGCCACGGAAGTTGTGGCTATACTTTTGGATAGTTATCCGTTGTCGACCCAGGCATTCTGGGCCGACTCCAAAGTAAACGAGTATACTTCTCTGGTAAGACTTCCCGTTCCTGGCAACTATTTGACTGATGGATGAGTTTGTTTGCAGAATGGTACTGTTTCAGAACCGAATGGAAGCCAGGCCAGCTTTCTTACACAGTCTTTGACTCTAACGTGCAGATCTTTCGTCAACATGACCCGAGACATTGGTTACTACTGGCTTCGGCTTGCGATCTACATGTTGCTGACTCTGTGCATCGGAACCATTTACTTCAAGGTGGGATCGACGTATGAATCCATCGCAGCAAGAGCCTCGTGTATGGCTTACGTTGCCGGTTTCCTCACTTTCATGTCGATTGGTGGCTTTCCATCCTTCGTGGAAGATATGAAGGTGAGTTCGACGTACTGCGTTTTCTTCTTCGACTCAACCATGTCCATGTCCAGGTTTTTGCTCGAGAAAGATTGAATGGTCACTATGGAGTGGCAGCATTCGTGATTGCGAACACGCTGTCGTCGCTGCCGTTTCTGTTCCTCATATGCTTCGTCTCGGGATTCATTTGCTACTACATGGTCGGACTTAACCCGGGCTTCGACCACTTCATCTACTTCCTCCTCATTCTCTTCTGTAGCGTCTCGGTGGTGGAAAGCCTGATGATGGCAGTGGCGAGCGTCGTCCCCAACTTTCTCATGGGTATCATCACTGGAGCTGGAATCCAGGTAAACTCTCCGGACTGATATGAATCTCACTGAAAAACTTGTCATGTTTTGTTCCAGGGCTTTTTCATGCTTGTAGCCGGGTTCTTCCGCCTTCCCAACGAGATCCCAAAGGTTTTCTGGAAGTACCCGGTGTCCTACCTCAGCTTCCATATGTTCTCCCTCCAGGGGATGTACCAAAACGATTTCCTGGGCGTTGATTTCTCGAACAAGTTCCCAGCGCTGCCAACGATCCCCGGCCGCCTCATCCTGTCCGAGTTCTACCAAGTGAACATGCGGCGCTCCAAATGGGCCAACCTCGCCGTGGTTTTCAGCATGATCGTCATCTATAGGCTCTTCTTCTTCGCGATGATCAAAGCCGGCGAAGATCTGTGGCCGCGAGCCAGGAGACTCACTACCAGTCGCGCCTCTCTCTGGAGGATCAAGGCCATGGATCTCGTCACAAAGCTCTCAGAGATGCGGCGAAAGAGCAGCTCAATCGCCCACAGATCGAGCAGCGATGAATTTCTACCCCCGCCATCGCTGCTCTAAGAAGCAGCAACTGTAAGGGCTTCAGCTGAAGCGGATTATATCCCCTGCCCACGTGGAAGGGCATAAAGCATAGAATCTAAAGGTGCCCCTTTTATGGCGGGCTTGCATTTCAAACACTGGCCAATAGGAGGAAATCTAGATAGGTTTTATACTACACGCTCTCTCCGCTTTAGGAGTGATCTAGCTTAGGGCATCCAAGCAGCGGCGATGAGCGCCATGGACAAGGGCGCCACGGCGATGAATGTGGACGAGCAGCCACATGTCCAGCACGGACCATCGCTCGTGGAGCAGCTCCAGGTAAGTGTCGATCGATCGATCGGGCGGCGCTTATTCCAGAAATCTCCCTGTGTGCAGCACTGTGGCATTTCCGCGGTGGATGTCAAGAAGCTCCGAGAGGCAGGGTTTTGTACCGTCGAAGCGGTGGCTTATTCGCCCAAGAAGGAGCTGCTCAAGATCAAAGGCATAAGCGAGGCTAAGGTCGACAAGATCACTGAAGCGGGTATGTACATTTTGGTTCTGTTTTGTTTTTTGTTTTTTTCTCATTGTTCTATGGAACTTGCGTAGCGACCAAGCTTGTTCCGATGGGATTCACAAGTGCGGCACAAATGCACGAGCAGCGATCCGAGATCATCCAAATAACATCGGGGTCCAAAGAACTCGATAAGATCCTGGAAGGGGGCATTGAGACGGGCTCCATAACGGAGATCTATGGAGAGTTTCGGACTGGAAAGACCCAGTTGTGTCACACGCTTTGTGTAACATGTCAGGTATGTATGTTCGTTTTGACATTATGGATCGCTGAGTTTTGTGTTTTCTTAAAAGCTGCCATTAGATCAAGGAGGCGGTGAAGGCAAAGCGTTGTACATAGATGCCGAAGGAACGTTCAGGCCACAGAGATTGTTGCAAATCGCCGAGAGGTTGGATCACGTCTTTCTTTCTTTTTCGTGATTCCGTATGATCGTTTCCTTTACATAGATATGGGCTGAATGGAGCAGATGTTTTGGACAATATTGCCTACGCGAGAGCATACAACACTGATCATCAATCACAGCTTCTGTTGGAGGCGGCGTCTATGATGGCTGAATCGAGGTAAGCATTTTCCTTGATAAGTTAAACACGAACACTCTCCTCGCAGGTTTGCGTTGATGATAGTAGACAGCGCGACTGCTCTGTATCGGACCGATTTTTCGGGACGCGGTGAACTATCTGCGAGACAAATGCACCTTGCTAGATTCTTAAGAAGCCTACAGAAACTGGCAGACGAGGTAAGCTCTCGATCGCTCTCTCGCTCGTTTGCCTTTAAAATTTAGAGTAACATTTTGCTTCACAGTTTGGAGTGGCGGTGGTCCTGACTAACCAAGTTGTGGCACAAGTCGACGGGTCTGCCGTTTTCGCTGGTCCGCAAGTCAAGCCCATCGGGGGCAACATAATCGCCCATGCCTCCACGACAAGGTACACGGGTGTCTGTCACTTCATTCTAGCTCTATTTCCTAAACTAATGCTCACTATTTTCTTCACAGACTGGCATTGCGGAAGGGACGAGGGGAGGAACGGATATGCAAGATCGTTTGCTCGCCATGCCTAGCAGAGCAAGAAGCTCGTTTCCAGATCTCTGGCGACGGCATCATTGATGTCACAGATTAATGCTCCACAAGCAGAGAGCCAGCTTCATAAGCTGCTAAACGAACGTGGTGCTCGAGCACCACGCTAAGTATTTGTTTATGTGCTCCAATTTGAATATAAATAGGCTCCATGGCTCTTGCACAAGCACAGCAAGCGTACAACAATGTCTGCCAAATCGAATCTCGTTTCCTCTTCCTTGTTGCTGCAGTATGCATGCTAGCAGTGATGGGAGCCTCGTGGTGCATCTATTGTTTGCAAGACCAATGGTGAAGAGATACCAAGTTATGGATGTACCTTTGGCGGATTTGGAGAATACCTGTCGACTCTGCTGATCGGACGAAAATCAGATAGTGTGTGGGTGAGTGACTGTGAACAGATGAGATGCAAGGCAACATATGAGAATCCCAAGTGAGACCGATGGTATATCTTGAGCTCGAGTGAATAGAATGTTTGCAAGCTTAAACTATCGCTGTCTGATTGAATTTCTAATAAAAGTTTAGCATATACACCTCACTCACCATGGACAACATTTATCCACCTGAGACCTTTATTGAAGTCTAGTTTAAATTTGAAAGCTACGAGATGGGAGGGAGTTTGATTGATCCAGACGGAACTGAGCTTGTTCCTTCGTGTGCGAGGATATCGTAAAATTCGTTTCAAGCTAGCCACGACCGCGCATATATACTGAAACTCCCAAGCTCCAAACCTTCATTTGTTTCAATCCATGGGCAGAGAGGTAACTCCACTCCAGCCGAAGCTGCCCGTGCTCTCCTTTTGTAAGAGAGCTCACTTCTCTCCTTTTGTGTATAGGGTTTCCATGGATTGCGTGTGGGTGAGGAAGGATGGAGAAGGCGAGGCGCTGCGCGTTCCTCTCCACGATTCGAAGCATCTGATGGTGGACAGCATTGCGGCACACTGGGGACTGGACGCCGCCACGCTCCGTGTGGGTCAGACCGCTCTCTTCAAGGACGCGAATGGGAATTCGGTGATGACGGTGGAGCAAATCGCTGCCAATTCCAATGCCCATGGCGATGGCCAGTCCCAGCAGAATCCCCTCGTCATCACGGGTAACAGGAATCGCCTCTCCCAGGAAGAAGCAGAGGCGGCATTGGCCAAGACGAAGCTCGGGATTGGAATTGCGAGAGCTCGCGAGCAGCGGAAGGAAGCAGATCGCCGCATCGCGATCTCCCACCTGTGGAATGATGCGCTGTGTAGAGAGTTCTACCTCGGATCAGCGATGTATTCCTATTCCATGAAAGGCTTGGTTGGCGAGCCTCCGAGTGTGTTGGGAGAGGTGGTGGGCAGATTCGTCGGTACAATAAATGTAGCTCGCAAGACAGAAGCTCCCAGCGACAAGAACTGCAAGGGAATGGTGGCGCTTATCAGGCCAGATGGAAGCTGCATCACTGCTCTCCAATGCATCGAAGGGATGTTTAGTGGCAGTGGCAAGGCGGAAGAAAAGGTGATCGTGGTGAGCTTTCCACGCATCAAAGGAGGAGTTTTGTACGAGTGCAAGGTTGGTTCTCGTCTGTCTTCCTCGGTGGTGTGCCTGGAGCCGCAAGCCCACTGCTTGCAAGAATTTGAAGGGTGCTTGAAAATGGAAGTAATCAGTCTCCCATTGTTCCAGCGACTGTACACGTTTGGTGGCCACAAGTCTATGGATCTTATCAACGTCTTCTCGGTGGATCCAGAGGCTTTTCTGCCTGTGTCGGCTGTGCAAGACCTAGGTGCCCCCGTGTTTGCCGATGGAGGAAGCTTGATCGGTGTTGTTACAAACACGTTCCTTGGGAAGCTTGGTAGAGGAGACACGGACAGGAAGCGCAAGCTGCAATCTTTTCAAGGGCGGCATCTGGAATGCCAAAAGACTGCAGACTTGGACAAGGAGTTTGAGCATGCAAGGCTTTATCGCAATGTCTCGGAAGAGATGCATGACGTCTACTTATGTAAGTTTTCTCTTCTATTTTTGTGTTATTGGATTACTACATTCGCTTGCAGGGGCAAAAGCTGCCATCCATCTGAACCGGGTTGTGCAGTTTGCTCCAGTGACGTGGAAGACACCGATTGATGAATGGAAGGAAGCTCATCCAGTTGAAAGTAAGTAGAAAGCTTACATCTGGAAATCTAACATCTAAAATCTCTTTTCTAGGCTTCGAGAAGGATCTCCCTCAAGAGCTTCCAAGCAGGAGATCCAAGACCGGATCAGCTCCTAGAAGGTCAGCTCCTAGAGCAAAAACCTGTGTACTTGTCTAGAGAAACAATGCTTGTCTACTCTGATGCTCCAAAATCTAAGGCCTTTGTTTTCTTTTACTTAGTCACAGGTCCTATGAATCTGGCTTGTCCATGCATCGCAGCCTGCACCCCCTATTTTCCAGAATGTCTCTTGAAAGGCTTCTAGAGAAGGGTCTCAATCACCACCCGGAAGCCAAGGACTGCTTGACAAGCTTCACATTCTTGAGGCTTCCACAGTTGAGCAGCGCATTTCCAAAGCATTCCATGGAGACGTTCTTGAGGTGGACGAGCTTCATGTTATGCATGCAGCCGATGTTCGCACTCACTTGATGGCACCATCCTCCTCCATGTGAGATTCTTGGTACCATCACAGAAACCCTGATCCTACTTCTAATACTAAGACATTCCTTACACTAAACTTAAGCTTTCAACCACTGTGATTGGAGGACTACTGATTCAATAGGAAGTATTGTCCTATTGTGAATCAAAGTTCTTAATGTTTATTACAAAAGAAAATTAAGCATTGCTACACTAAGTCTCACTGAAAAACTTGGTCCAGGGCTTCGTGCTTGTACCCTGGCTCTTCTTCCTATCCTAAAGGTTTTCTGGAACTAACCAGTGTCCTACCTAGCTCTGCCAGGTTTTACCAAGTGGACATGCAGCGTTCCAAATGGGCCAACCTCGCCGTGGTTTCGTCATCTTAGGCTCTTCTCAAAGCCGGCGAAGATCTGTGGCCGCGAGCCACGAGACTCACTGCCAGTCGCGCCTCTCTCTGGAGGATCAATCTCGTTTCTTCTTGGGGTAGAAATTCATCGCTGCGCTCACGAAGAAAACCAACTGTAAAGGCTTCAGCTGAAGGGCATAAAGCATAGCATCTAAAGGTGCCTCTTTTAGGGCATCCAAGCATCCAAGCAGCGGCGATGAGCGCCATGGTCAAGGGCCCCGCGGCGATGAATGTGGAGGAGCAGCAGCATGTCCAGAACGGGCCATCGCTCGTGGAGCAGCTCCAGGTAAGTGTCGATCGATCGCGCTTATTCCAGAAATCTCACTGTGGCATTTCCGCGGTGGATGTCAAGAAGCTCCGAGAGGCAGGGTTTTGTACCGTTGAAGCGGTGGCCTATTCGCCCAAGAAGGCAAGATCAAAGGCATAAAGGTCGACAAGATCCACTGAAGCGGGTTATGGACATTTTGGTTTTGTTTTGTTTTTATTTTCTTCTCATTGTTCTACGGAACTTGCGTAGTGAAGCGACCAAGCTTGTTCCAATGGGATTTACAAGCGCGGCACAAATGCACGAGCAGCGATCCGAGATCATCCAAGTAACATCGGGGTCCAAAGAACTCGACAAGATCCTCGAGGGGGGCAGAACTGAGATCTATGGAGAGTTTCGGACTGGAAAGACTCAGTTGTGTCATACGCTTTGTGTAGCATGTCAGGTATGTATCTTCGTTTTGACTTCATGGATCACTGAGTTTTGTGTCTATTTCATTAGATCATGGAGGTGGTGAGGGCAAAGCAGATGCTGAAGGAACTTTCAGGCCACAGAGATTGTTGCAAATAGAGGTCGGATCACGTTTTCCTTTCTTTTTCGTGATTTCTTATGATTGTTTCATTTTCTGGATGATAGATATGGGCTGAACTGCTGTTGGAGGCGGCGTCTATGATGGCTGAATCGCGGTAAGCATTTCCCTTGATATGTTAAGCACTCTTGGCCTTCTCCTGCCTTGATGGTAGTAGACAGCGCGACTGCTCTGTATCGGACCGATTTTTCAGGACCCGGTGAACTATCTGCCAGAAAAATGCACCTTGCTAGATTCTTAAGAAGCCTACAGAAACTGGCAGACGAGGTAAGCTCTCGATCGCTCTCTCGCTCGTTTGCCTTTAAAATTTAGAGTAACATTTCGCTTCACAGTTTGGAGTGGCGGTGGTCCTGACTAACCAAGTTGTGGCACAAGTCGACGGGTCTGCCGTTTTCGCTGGTCCGCAAGTCAAGCCCATCGGGGGCAACATAATCGCCCATGCCTCCACGACAAGGTACACGGGTGTCGGTCACTTCATTCTAGCTATTCTCTAAACTAATACTGACTGCTTTCTTCACAGACTAGCATTGCGGAAGGGACGAAGGGAGGAACGGATATGCAAGATCGTTTGCTCGCCATGCCTAGCAGAGCAAGAAGCTCGTTTCCAGATCTCTGGCGACGGCATCATTGATGTCACAGATTAATGCTCCACAGAAAGCTTCATAAGCTAAACGCTTTCACGTTAAAATATATCCGATGGTTATTTTACCTAATACAACAGCGTACAGTAGAAGTAACCACTATAACGTGTGTCTGTTTAATTAAGTTCAAAACACGTTACATTTCATAACTCTTTCACGTTAAAATATATTCCATGTGTGAGGGCCAAGTGTACGGCTACAATGCCGTATACTAATATTAGCGTAATGGGATTTTAGTAGCCGTCGGATTGGTTTCAATCCAGACCACTCGCTCCTGAATATAAACTAAGGTTTTTGGGCTATGCACATTTTCTGTATTCCTTTTCCATATTCCGAGCACTCACACATGGTTATTTTACCGATTAGTGAATACAACAGCGTACAGTAGAAGTACTATAATGTGCTTGATTATGTCAACGTGGTGCTCGAGCCCACGCTAAGTATTTGATTATGTGCTCCAATTTGAATACATCCTTCCTCCTTGTTGCTGCAATATGCATACTATCTGTGACCAATGCACAGTCAGAGGTTATGCGATGAATGTGCTTGATTTCAATGACCAGGTGCATTGACGATTACAACAGGAAAATAGGGAACTGACGGAACAGTGGACATATCAGTAATTCAACAACACATCTAGAATTGGCCCACAATTTCTAGATCTGGACAATCTGGGGGATGATTTCAAGCCTTGTACCGATAATGAGTATCATCGACAAGGTCCATGCTTGAGAAATATCTGTGGTTTCAAGCTCACCCTTAAGGATTTTGGGCCAAGAGAAAGGTAGCCTCGTGGTGTGTTGATTGTTTGCGAGAGCAATGGTGAAGAGATATCAAGATATGCATGTAACTTTGGCGAATTTGGAGGATACCTGTTGACTGAGATGATCGGACAAAAGGCAGATAGTGTGTGGGTGAGTGACTGTGAACAGATGGCATGCAAGACAATATATGAGAATCCTAAGAGAGACTGATGGTATCTTGATCTCAAGTGAATAGATTGTGTGCAATCTTAAATAATCATTGTCTGATTGAATTTCTAGTAAAAGTTCAGCATATGCACCTCACTCACCATGAACTAATGCATAATGCACTCACCATTATGCATGAATCCTGGAAGACACCATCTATCCACCTGAAACCTTTATTGAAGCTTGGTTTAAAAGTGTTTTAAAAATGGAGATATATTTTTTAAAATTTTGTAAGATAAAAAGAAATATTTTAAGGGATTGATGTATATATCATGTATATGCAGCCTATTTCAGCTCTTTTGCATGAAAAGTTACTAGGGAAGAAGGTAAGAAACAAAAGAAATTTACATAAACTGATCTATTTTTCATTTCCAGGTTCAAGTTGCATCCTTTCTCAAACTTGTGAACCTTGCATTCCAGCAGAGTGGTGAAAATCCACCACTTATGATGATACCTATTTTTACTTCGACTTTTGCCATAAAGTAAGTTCATCATAAGTTCATCATAAACTATTTTTTCTCTATTGCATACCCTTCTACCTTCATTAAATTAAAAATCTATGACAATAATAAGAGTATAAAATTGTTAGTTACAACAATATATTGATTGAAAAAGAATGACTTTAATATAACTGAAAAGTTAGAATGACAATCAAATAATAACACACAGTTGAAAGGGTGTATAACATTAATTAAAGGGAAGAAGACTATGTTTTCTTAGTTATTATTTAAGTTAAATCGATGTTTTGGGAGAACTATTATTTTTTTTATCAAAAATACATATAAGAATTCATGTTAAAGTTTTTTAGCAACATTGTTAAGAGATTAAAACCAAAATATCACTTAATGAGATAAAAGAGAAAATATTAAAATACTAATTATTCTATTTTTGGATATTTGATAATATTCAATGCTTTAAAGAAGTTGGATTTTGTGCTCCATATCACCAATAAAATAAATTTTAGTATTAAATTTAAAATATTTTTTATATATTAAATTTTCTTTACTTATTAACTTTTTATATTTTATTTGGCTTTGGTTTGTATTATTAATCTTTGTTTTACTTTATTGAGGAAGAACACCTAGACAGTTATAAAAAAATAAAAAGCAGTTCATAAGGTGAAAAATATTAACTTAAGGGTAAGGTTAAGGATTGTTGCTTACATTCCCATTAGAATGGTTGAATGAAGTTAAATTTTCATAATTTGCTAAAGTTTGTATCAGGTAAATTTTTTTTAACTGTAAATATAAACTTTTAAAACATTTAAATAATGTATTGCTCACTCTCTTTTATAAAATGTAGTGTTATGTTTCTTTGTTTTTGTTTTTGATTTATATTTTTTATAAAATTTAATTAAAATTTTATTTATTATGTAAAAAATTATATATTGTCATTATATGCTATTATGTTATGAGCAATAATCCTAACAACAATGGGGAAACCTCACAACAAATTTCAAAGTCTAAAAAAGAAGACATATGTATTATATATTTTCCATGCTTTAATGTTAAGGGGGATTTGTAACTGTGAGCATTCAAATTTTATGTGCTCCATGAATTTGAATATCTAGATGTTGTAATTTTACATCTTAAAGGTTGCAACAATAAAATATATATTTTATCAATCGACTCTTATACAGGAAAAATTGGGAAAAATGTAAAAATCAAAAGAAAATAACATAAAATTGATCCCTTTACTATTGAAAATCCATAAATTATAATGATACCTCTTCTTTTTTTTATTTTTGCTATCACTAACTCAGGAGAAAAATTATGTTTTTAGTGACTATTTGTGCTAAACTAATGTTTTATGAGCATTGATTTCTTTTAATTGTTTTTTTTTGTCAAGATTAGTTATAAGAGTTCATGTTGAAATTTTTTAGTAATATTGTAGAGATATTGAAGCAAGAATATCTTGATATACTCAATGATCTAGAAAAGATAACATTAAAATGCTAAAGTTGAAGAGAATAAATGTATAATATAACACTCCCCTCTCTTATATATTTACCCCTTATTATACTTACTATTCACTTAAGGTTGTAAAGATGGTTTAAAATAAAATTGTAAACATTGTAATACTACAAGATCTTTTAAAACTAACACTTAGTTTGTATATAGTAATTTCATATTACTTAAATACTTCAAGTGATGCATTGTTAGTGTATTAAAATGTCAAAAGATAAAGCCCATATTGAATATAATATTAAAAGTGAGCACATGATATTGAAAATGAAATACATCATTTCATTTCATTGCAGTACATATAATGATCACTCAAAGCATAAAATCACAATACTAAAAAAGTTTGAAATGAAATGAATTACATGACTTTTCTAAAATTGGTACTTTCTTCATTTCTAGACCATCTAGTATATAATAACACAAGAGATATATTTTCCTAGTGGAGTCGCCAATACTATAAAGAGACTTTATTAAAATAAAGAGTAAAATAATGTATAAGGAAATAAAAGGGGAGAAAGAAAAATTAAAGAAAAACTTTGTACATTGTTTTTCTTATTTATGATATAAACAAGAAGTTGAGTGTTGTGATAAATGATATTTTCAATATAGTAGAAGAAAATCATTTTTATGGTTAATATTTATTTTCATTATAAAAATTAATAATAAAAATAGTAGTAATGGAGATTTTCTTTTTTTATTTTGCATTACTAATAAACAGCTTTATAGAGTGAAAAATGATAGTAATAAAGGTTTGAGAGGAAAATTTATTATCTTCACTAACAATATATAATAGATAATCACTAATAGCAATAGAATTGATAAAAGCAACAATATAGTAAAACTATGAAAAATAAAGAATAAGAAAAAGTAAAGAAAAACATTTTTTCATTTAGCCATCAACTATATAGATAACCAAAAATTTATCTTATTTATTGGTAATTATTTTTATTTATTTTCTAAAACTTAGTTATGGATAGGCATGTTTTTCATTGCTCACTTATTTTAGATTAATTTTTTTTAATTTATCAATATATATATCTTTTCTAGTTTTACTTTGTATCGTTAATCTCTCTTTTACTTATTCAAGAAAACACTACACAGTCATCAAAGGATAGGTTTGGAAGGAAGATTACATATTTTCCATGCTTTAATGTAAAGAGGGATTTATAACTACGAGCATTCAAGTTTTATGTAGTTCATGAATTCAAAGATGTAAATGTTGCAATTTTACAGTTTAAAGGTTGCAATAATAAAACATATATGCTACTAATTTTGACTCTTATACAGAAAAATTTAGAAAAAAGGAAATAATTAAAAGAAAGTACCATAAAATTGATCCTTTTATCAATTTTAAGTTTAAGATGCATTTTTCTCAAACTTATGGACAACACATTTTAGTATAACACTAAAAATTTATGGGTTATGATGATACCTCTTTTTGTTTTGACCTTTGCCATCACTAACTCGTGTTTTTTAATGACTAATTTAGCTAAACCAACATTTTGTGAGCATTCAACTTTTTTTTTGTCAAGACTACTTATAGTCATATTGAAATTTTTTTAGCAACATTGTAGAGAAATTGAACCCAAATTATCTTGATATATTCAATGATATTCTTGAATAGTTGATAATATCTAATTTTCTAGAGGGCTTGGAGTCTTTGCTCCAATCAAATATATCATAAATAAAATAGGTTTTAGCATTGATTTATAATATCATTTATACTTGATTTATTCTTTCCATACACTAATATTCATGGCAATAAGAGTAATAAGCTTTACCTCATTTGTGTAACAAACTTGTTAGGAAAATAAAAAACTTCTTACTTAGATTCAGCTATAATAGACTTTATAGTAGCCGTTTGTATGCTCTCGAGTATGCCTATATCTATTAAGAAATCAATTAGGAAAAGAAAGAGAAATGCAATACATGATAAGAGAGTTATTTTGATATATATTAGATTTGTTAAGACATAAATATACATTCCTCAATATCCCATAAAGATTAGTAAAACTCTCTTAAGCATAGAAGGTTTGACATTACTCATGCCTCCTAATTGATTGCTTTATGAAACTAGAGCCATTTGCTACACTTTAGGGAAGTAAGACTCATTTCAAAGTAGACCTCTATTCAATTGTGAAATGTTGAACTATTTTTTGTCAATCAACTTCTTGTTAGAGTGTGCATTTTGCTTATGAAAATGATGTATTAAACCACTTCAAAAGAACTTAAATTGCCCATGTGAACCCCCTTAATGAAGCACTATATCCACTACACATTTTCATATTAATCCAGCCCAACATCTGTGCAACCAAGTATATTTATGGAAGTTGTGATTATGAGAGTAACATTTTCTTAGAGAAGCATAATCATGAGGAAGAACAATATAAAACATACAAGCACCCTCTATTGATATAGCAGAAATTACCTAATCCAAAAATTAACCCCAAAAATCTCACAAATCAATTCATAGCCAATACTAAGCACATTGTTGTTTAGCAAATAGGTAGTTTGCCCTAGGTTGTTAGTTAACTAGCTCATTTTTCCATGAGTGTGTGTTTTATATAATTTTCTAGAATGGCAGGAGTCAAAGGTAGGGAGATTAACAATTAAAGCTAGAAAAAAAAATTCATTATATCATTCTAAGGTTCAAAGAGTTGTATCTTCTTCTCTTTGAGTTTATGGTCTATATCAAAGAGGTGTGACTGCAAATTGTGACCATGTAGCTAAGGTGAACAAAGCCTCACTTTTAGCACCTATAGATATTCTCATAATAGAGACAAACATTTCACAATCAATTGATCATCTTGGTTGGAGTGGCATTTGACTTTGGGAAGCTTATGCCTAAGACAACTAAGATGTTAAAAGAGTGGCAATGTGATCCAAGGCTTGGGAAGATCACCAAGCTTGGCCAATCATTTGCTCGTTCCAAAGACTATAGTGCAACTAAAGTACAAACTTGGTTCACATCCACATTGTGATATTGCATGACTAAATCAATGTGATCAACAGCAAGTTAATATCATTTTTCTCCTTATCTTCTTCTAGATTCCTAACCCTCCTCATAGGTGATACTGATTTCACTTGGGAGCAAATCACCAATAAAGTCGCCAAGTGAAGGTTTAGGGGTTCAACAAGGTATATATACTAGACATCGAGTGCTTCTCATTCCTCAACTGAGTGCTAGAGAATGAAATGACCCCCATCCTCATTGTCACTATAAGAGCATCACAAAGAACTACAAATTGCCACAACATCCTACTCAATCTTCCAAACTTGCTGCTTATAATCTTCATGTAGTCTTACATAAAGGACAAGATGCAATGGATTTTGGACATTCAGGTGGGTGGAGATGGCTTGCCAAAGAGCGGCTCACCAAGATTAGGGAAGAGACTTCCCTTAGTGGCCTTGGCCTACCAAAAACGAAGAGGAAAGCATTAAGGACATCAATAAAGTCTACTCACTTTTCATGCATATAAAGCAATTAACACAATTCTTAGGTTTAAGAGTACAAATGCACAATCTAGCTCCCCCCCTGCCTGCCCTCTCTTACATAGTTACCATCTTGCTATGCCCACTGCTCATTCCTTTTGTTCATACTTAGTGCTGTGCCTTAAATGTTTAATCACTATAATTTTATAATTAAGATGAACAGCTATAATATATGTTTAGCTTAGGTTTTTTCTCATTGTGTTTTATGTTTTTGTTCCTTTCTATAGTTTCTTTCTTATTTCATTCACTCTCTTAAGTATTATACAAAGGAGATCTAAATTGAACAAATAGCAAACTTTAAAATATTAAAATACGTAAATATCTAAGTTAAAAGTTTCTATAAGATTGAATTGTTTAAAAAAGACAAAGTTCATGAGAACTTATCTTTTATAAAACTATATTATTTTATTATGACAACTGTTACAGCTGTACATACTATTCCTAACTAGAATGGAATATGTAGATCATGCTTAAAATAATATTTTTCTTTTGCTAGTATTATTTGAAAAACTAATAATAATAAATTTGTATTATAGTTGATTTTCTTTTAGAAGAGAGAGAATGTGAAAGATGTTATTGACAAATGAGATATCAACTTGATAATTGAGGTTGTAAAGATGGCTTCAAGTGGAATTGTAAAAATTGTAATACCCCAAGATCTTTTAGTTTGCACATAGTAATTTCACATTTACTCAAATGATTCAAGTGTTAATGCATTAAAATGCCATAAAGTCAAACTCATATTGAGTATAATATTAAAAATGAGCACATGATAATGAATTGAAATTATCATATTACAATGAGATAGTCAAAAGATTGTCAGTCCAAGAAGAATTGTGGAAATTGATGAAAGGAAGTTTACTAAGTGGTAATATAATCATGGTAGAAGAGTAAAAGATCAATGGGTAAATTGAATGTGATTCACATTAAATGTTTATTACAAACTTAACTAATATATTATATAGGTAAGTTCTATTTCTTTTATTTTTATTATTAACTAATAATCAATATTGCTATTATGATTCAGTGTTTGAATTAGTTAAGCTTCAAGTTAATCACTCCCAAATTTTATTGATCAAATTACTAGAGTTCAAATAAATCATATTGAATTGACATGAAATGCAATGAAAATATATTATGGTATAATAAAAGGATTATACAGTTCTTATTCTTTGGTAAAAAAAAATATTGAAAGGAAGAAACTATAAGCTATATATTCAGAATAATGTTGTTATAGTAAAATAAAAATTCTATGGGAATCCAAATAAGCAAAAGGGTTCTACTTGGACCTTGACATCAACAAACAAAGGATCTGCCCTTGCTGTGTTTCTAGGAAATCCAGCTCAATAGATTGCGCATGGGAACTCGGCTATGGACAGTGCATGGCGATGATGCAGCAAGCCGGGATGAGGAGACATTTCGCAAAGATAGATTTTAGGGTAGACTCACTGTTTAGTGCAAGGTGGAAGAAGCGTGGAGCTTTCCACGCATCAAAGGAGGAGTTTTCTACGAGTGCAAGGTTGGTGCTCGTCTGTCTTCTTCGGTGGTGTGCCTGGAGCCGCAAGCCCACTGTGCTTGCAAGCATTTCAAGGGTGCTTGAAAATGGAAGTAATCAGTCTTCCATTGTTCCAGCGACTGTCCACGTTTGGTGGCCACAAGTCTATGGATCTTATCAACGTCTTCTCGGTGGATCCAGAGGCTTTTCTGCCTGCGTCGGCTGTGCAAGACCTCGGTGCTCGGTGTTGTTACAAACACGTTTCTTGGGAAGCTCACGGACAGGAAGCGCAAGCTGGAATCTTTTCAAGGGCGGCATCTGGAATGCCAAAAGACTGCAGACTTGGACAAGGAGTTTGAGCACGCAAGACTTTATCGCAATGCCTCGGAAGATCCTCTTCTATTTTTGTGTTATTGGATTACTACATTCACTTGCAGGGGCAAAAGCTGCCATCCATCTGAACCGGGTTGTGCAGTTTGCTCCAGTGACGTGGAATACACCGATTGATGAATGGAAGGAAGCTCATCCAGTTGAAAGTAAGTAGAAAGTTTGCATCTGGAAATCTAACATCTATATCTCTTTTCTAGGCTTTGAGAAGGATCTCCCTCAAGAGCTTCCAAGCAGGAGATCCAAGACCGGATCAGCTCCTAGAAGGTCAGCTCCTAGAGCAAAAACCTGTGTACTTGTCTAGAGAAACAATGCTTGTCTACTCTGATGCTCCAAAATCTAAGGCCTTTGTTTTCTTTTACTTAGTCACAGGTCCTATGAATCTGGCTTGTCCATGCATCGCAGCCTGCACCCCCTATTTTCCAGTTGCTCCACCACCCCGGAAGCCAAGGACTGCTTGACATAGGAAAGAAGCTTCACCTTCTTGAGGCTTCCACAGTTGAGCAGCGCGTTTCCAAAGCATTCCATGGAGACGTTCTTGAGGTGGACGAGCTTCATGTTTTGCATGCAGCCGAGCTTGGCGAGCGCCATCATCCCGTTGTTCGTGAGCGGGCAGTAGGACACATTGATCTGGAAGAACGAAACAAAGATGAGAACTTGAAGAACTAAAGAGATCAACCTGTCGCAGGTCCGGACACAAGTGTTCTAGCGCAAGTAGTCCGGGATCGCCTATTCTCGTGCAGCGTTTGATGTCTAGCTCCACGAGCCGCTTGCATCCCGCCGCGACTTGCGTGAGGCCGTCGGAAGTGACGAGTGTGCATCCTCGAATCTCTAGCTGGCTGAGCTTGCTGAGGCGAGCTATGGCTGTCATGGACGCGTCCGAGATTCGAGAGCAGTAGGACAAGTTCAGTACTCTCAGGTCCTGGCAGCCGTTGACGACCGAGATCACTCCGGCATCTCCGACAGATCGACACCTGCACGAGATCAAATTAATCTCTTTACGAGTAAAAACTTAAGAGAGAGAACCTGTAGAGATCAAGCTCCATAAGCTTGTGACAACCAGCTCCAACGAAGAAAATCCCATAGTCGGAGATGTTACAAAATGCCAGCTTCAAGACCCTGAGAAGGACACAATTTCCGATCGGCTCAAGCCCTGGAAAAAAGAAGATAAAAAGAAACCACGCGAGTTAAAAACAAGGAAGAACCACCGGTATGAGAAAACTCACCAGCACCTGTAAGATTGCAATCTGTGACATCGAGTTCCTCGAGAAGATGGCAGCTCTCGAAAACCATAGGAAGGCTGTTGTCGCTGACCATGAGGGACGACTCCAGCTTGAGGCTCTTGATGGAGGTGCTGCTCCTGGCGATAGACAGGAGCGAGATTTCAGTGACGTCGAAGCAGCAAGTAAGGTCGAGCTTCTTCAAGGATTTACATGACGTGATAAGTCGATCGATGCGCTTGTCCGTCACCCCTCGGCTTTTGCACAGGCTGAGCTCCTTGAGTTCTTGGCATCCCGCCGCGACGCGATCGAGCGAGTCGTGCGTAAATTCGCAACCATCCAGCCGCAGCGTTTGTATGCCGTTCGGTTTCTCAAAGTCGAGGAAAGCGTCTTCAGTTACCTGGAACGAAAGTAAGAGTTTTGTCTCGCATTTATCTCAGAAAGAATCGGGAAAGAAGAGCAAGAACCTGAGAGCAATGGCAGAGATGTAAGGTGAGCAACGTTGGCAATGCTGCAATCCCAACAGAGCTCACGTTTTGACAACGAGAAACGTCCAAATCCTTCACACACCAAAATGAAATCACCAAAGAGGAATATTGTGCTATAGTCTTACCACAAGCGACTTGCAGTTCTCCTGCAGATACGAAAGAGCTCTATCTCCAACATTGTTGCAGGCCATGAGATTTAGAGTTCTCAGTGCCTTGAGCTCCGAAACATACTTAACACCTTCGTCCGTTACCTGCAAAAGCAGAGACACTTAGCTAGCACCCTGAAGAAATGATAGCTTTACAGTACAAAAGCTACTCGAAAGAAAAAAAAAAAAAAAAGGGAACAAACAAAAAAAGAAATGCCACTACCTCAGTGAAGGAAAGATCAAGGATCATTAGCTCCTCGCTGCGAGCAGCGACGAGCTTAATGCCAGCATCAGTGATCGCCACACAGCCTTTGAGGACGAGAGTTTTCAGCCTGTGACATCCTGCTGCTAAGCTCTCCAATCCCATGTCTGTGACTCTAATGCAGCCAGTGAGCTTAAGTTTTTCTATCCGGTTGAGCCGGGCTAAGCCGAGAAGTCCATCGTCTTCCACATAAGAACAATAGCTAAGATCCATCTCTACGAGCGAGAGGCAGTGTTGAGATAAGTAGCGCAGGCCAGTGCTCGTGAACCCACAGATCCTGTTAAGATAGATGGCTGCCAGCCGCTTCCCAGCTTTATCCGCGACATGGATGAGATTCTCATCCGTGACACCGGCGCAGCACGTCAAGTCGAGCTCCTCCAAGCGCTCGTATCGATCGAGAGCTTGGGGGAGGAGCTCGGCCCGGAGAAGCTGGAGCCGCCTGCGCACACTACACTCCAATTTGTAGAAAGTTCTACAGACCATCCGCCAGCTCCTCCGGTCGAAACTGTCGGAGATCTTTCCCAGGACCTCGAGCAGAATGTGCTCGTCGACGAAATCGAGCAGGCAAGCGCTGGGTCTCCGCGATCCTGAGGAGCTGCTGCAAGCCATGATCCACTTTCCTCTTTTTTCTTTGCTCGTCAAGACTCTACGAGATAAAGCGAAAAAGGAGAAACGAGAGCGAGCGAGATGTGAGAGCCATCATGCCTCAGAAGCGGAAACTCCAAGGACTTGGAAAAGAGGGATCGGGTACTGGAAGAGTTAAAGAGCCAAGATAAAATCATCACCATCATCCAGAGGGGGGAAGGAGAACGAAAAGATAAAGCCTCTCTCTAATCGTTCGCCCACGCGAATTCAAATGCCTCGGCGGCCAGATGCTACCTAGAGAAGTACCTTCCAATCGTACCCACCGGCCCCAGCTCGCGCGCGCTGCGCTCGCCAAGAACCCTAAAAAGCCATCTAGGTGGTGAACACGTGGCGCCAGGACGCGTGATGTGACGTGTACCCATTGACTTGTCCGCGTGGCGTGCGGTCCGGGGTTCGATCCCAGCGGGCCCGGAAAGAGAAAGAGTTTTTGGGGCTCGCGAGCGTTTTGCCGAGCGTTTTGGAGGGGCGAAATACAGCACTGGGCCGGGCGTTCGCTGCTTAGGTATGTGCCAGTTTTGTTATAGATCTGGGCGATGGTTCCTCGTGCCAAAAAAACTTCGTCACGGTTCTTCCGCCCAAGGGATCCACCTCATCTCCACGAATTCATGCATTCTTTTCATTCGAGCCTCTCCTTTTCTTTCTTTCCCTTTTTTTCCGCGGGGCTTAGCTCATCTCCATCTCCTTTTCTTCCAGGAGGACAAAGGGATCTGCAAGACTGGCTTTTGCGATGGAAATTCACGACGAGGAGAGAGTGGTGCACTGCTCCTCCATGGATCCAAATGACGTCGACGAGCTCCATCCAAAGGAAGAGAACGACGAGTTCAACGACGAGGAGGTCGCGCAGTGCGGCAGCAAAGTCGCGCTCTCGGCTCGCAAGCGCGCTCCGTGCACTGCATGGACGGACAAGGAGGCGTTTGCGCTGCTCGACATCTACTACGAGAAGTGGATCGAGACGAGGAGTGGTGGCTGCACCGGGCTGAGCGATCGCGAGTGGGCCGAGGTTGGCGAGTCGCTCTACCGGCGCTGCGGCGGCACGCTGCGCACTGTGCTGCAGCTCAAGAGCAAGATCGACAAGATGAAGCGGAAGTTTAAGAACGAGCAGCTCAAGGCGAGCACCACAGGGATGGGGAATTCTACGTGGGTGTTCTACGAGAAGATGAGCAGCTTGTTTGGGCTCATGAAGAAGAAGCGAACGACTCCTTTCTTGAAGAGAGCCGCGGATCGAGAGCTGAGCGGGGACGAGCAGGCCTGCGATGTGGAGGATCTGGAGAGAGTTGGAGGTGGCGTGGTTGCTCTTGGCGATGTTCCTCAGGATGGTGGCTCGGATTCGCTATATAGGCTGCTCAAGCATCATCTTCCACCGGGTGTTTTCAAGGTAAAAAAGAGTTTTGTACTTCTTTATTGTTTCTCCGTTTTGTCAGATGATAACACTGATCCTAGGAAGCAAGCAGGATGATCTTGGGATTAAACAATGGGAGTGTCGTAGGAATGCTGCCTTTGCCTCCAGCAGTAATGGCAATGTCTACTGCTGCCGACTTTGATCTCCAGGTACTTATCTATTTTCTTTTTCAAAGTTTTTCTAGACCAACTTTTATGTGGGTCTTCTTTGAAGGCTTACAGGTTTACTGCTGCCGAGGAAGAGTTGCGAGCTCCTCGTATTGTTCGTATAGGCGTCATCCAGAACGCCATAGTTCTCCCAACTGATGCTCCTTTTGCGGATCAGAAGCGAGCCATCATGAAGAGAGTCGGGGATCTGATCGAAGCTGCTGGAACTGCTGGTGTCAACATACTTTGCTTGCAGGTGAAGGGAAGCTTTTTGCATTTTCCATCTCAACACCCATCTTTCTTCTTTTCTCGATGTAGGAGGCTTGGACGATGCCTTTCGCGTTTTGTACGCGGGAGAAAACATGGTGCGAGTTTGCCGAGAGCGCGGAGGAAGGCACGTCGACAAAGTTCTTGCAAATGTTCGCTTGCAAGTTTAAGATGGTGATCATCAGCCCCATCCTGGAGCGCGACGAAGTCCACGGTGGAACCTTGTGGAACACGGCCGTGGTGATTGGAAACAATGGAAACGTGATCGGAAAGCACAGAAAGGTCAGGCTCTTTCTCTGTTCTCTCTCGTCTCTGAAAATCCTCCTCCATTTGCTAGAACCATATCCCTCGCGTTGGAGACTTCAACGAGAGCACGTACTACATGGAAGGCAACACCGGCCATCCAGTGTTTGAGACCGCGTATGGAAAGATCGCGGTAAACATATGCTACGGGAGGCACCACACTCTCAACTGGCAGGCGTTTGGGATGAACGGAGCGGAGATCGTGTTTAATCCCTCGGCAACAGTGGGTGACTTGAGCGAGCCAATGTGGCCGATCGAGGTAAGCACGAAAAAACTCTTTTTTCCCTTCATCGCAATCAAAAATCTCTTTTGGATCATCCATCCATTGTCCAGGCGAGAAACGCTGCAATAGCAAACAGCTACTTCGTGGCCGCGATCAACCGGGTTGGCACCGAGGTTTTCCCGAGAGCTTTCACGTCGGGTGACGGGAAGCCGGCTCACAAGGGGTTTGGACACTTTTACGGGTCGAGCTATGTGGCGGCCCCGGACTCTTCGTGCACGCCGAGCCTCTCGAGGCTCCAGGACGGGCTCATGGTCGTGGATGCCGACTTGAATCTGTGCCAGCAAGTCCGAGACAAATGGGGCCTCCGGATGACCGCTCGCTATGATCTGTATGCCAACTTTTTCAATGAGTATACAAAGCACGCGTTCAAACCGCAAGTTATCAGCGATCCCCTCCTCCACTCCGGCCTCGAGGCACACAGCCTCTAAGATCAAATCAAATAAAACATCTTCAAATTATCTAAAAACGTTTCTCAAAGATATCATTTTTAATCTCTTGCAAACAAAACCAATGTAGAAAAGCTATACTTCAAATGATCTAAAGCTTTTCTCATTTCTATCGCAAACAAAACCAACGTAGAAAATCTGCGTCGCTGGTGTCGCAAAATTTGATTTCTAGCCTTCCACCATCTCGCTGGTGTCGGGGACTTCGTTGAACATAAACTGTTCCTGGTACTCCATAAGGAACTGCGTCGATCGCTTCACGTCCATGAAGAGCGAGTAGACTTTACTGATGTCCTCGATGCTCACCTCTTTTCCTCTTCGCTTCTGGCAAGCCAAGGCCGCGGCTGTGATGAGATGGATCGCATACCTGAGCGACGTCTCCTGTCCGATCTTGGTGAGCAGCTCCTTGGCCTCCTCCGCCATCTCCACGTCCTCCTCCTCCCCCCGGATGTCCAGAATCCGTCGCATCTCGTCCTCCGTGTAAGGCTGAGTCGAGATTATGAGCAGCCGGTCCAGGAGATCGAGCGGGATGCCGTGCGGCGACTTGTAGTTCGTTCCTCGGATCTTCGTGATGCCCCTGTTGGTGGCGACGACGAGGATTGGGGCCATCTCGTTCTCCAGCGCTCGGTTGAGGAACGAGAAGCACTCCATGTCTAGCATGTGTACCTCGTCGATGAAGAGAACCCCCGGAACTATCTCGGCTTTTCCCTCTTCCCTCCACTCGGCGACTTTGTTGTTGATTTGTTCCCTTACTTCCGAGCGAATCTCGCCGGTATCACCCGCGAAAAGAGCGAGGAATCCTTGCGTCCTGGAAGAAGAAACCCGTTCAAGAACATCTCCAGAGACTTGGAAGAGATGAGAAGAAAGGTGGTACTAACCTGCTGTTGATCACATCGATCTCGTGCAAAGTCACAACATGGACGACTTCCTTGCGCTTCTGGAGCTCGCCATCGGGGCACTGGACGAATCGAGTCTGTGCTCCAGTTGCATCGTAGTCCCTGGAGCGAGCAAACGATCGGCCGAGCTTGGTGATCTTCCCGGAGGCCTTGTCGATGGCGATCACATCACCGCTCTGGGCCTTCTCTTTCGTAAGCGCCTCGATCATCTTGCTGCCGAGATCATACACGGTCTCCATCTCGGTCGTCTTGAGCGTGAGCTTCCCGGACTTGGACGCCGCCCCGGCCGTGGCCGGACGATCGATCTGGATCTCCACAACCTCGCCCTCGATGATCTCCGTCTCCTCCTTGATCTTCACACCGATGGCCTTGCGAAATGCCTGCGTCAGCGCCTCCGTTTTGCTCATCTCCAGCGAGAATATCTCGCTCCCGGCCATCATTGCGAAGGGCGTCTCCTCGCCCAGGGATTTTGCCATTGCCATGGCGATCGCGGTCTTTCCAGTGCCCGGCTGCCCCGCGAGCAGCACGCCGCGTCCGGCGATCTTGCCCTCCTTGATCATCTTGCAGATGACGCCCACGGCGCGCCGCGCGGGCTTCTGCCCAACCATACCCTGCGACACATTACGCGGCTCGAGCGTATCATCCAGGCCCAGACCTCGAATGTGAGAATGCGCGCCAATGCGCTCGATGCGAGTGAGGTCGCGCGTCTCTGAGACCTTCACTTCCGCCCCCATAGCTGCTCCTGCCCTAACTTGCCCTAACGACTGTCGATCCCCTGTTTATAAGGAAAAATAAAAAATATATAAAGCTTTACTCACTTTTAAATGAATGAGCCGAGCCTTAGCAGTGACGAAATGGCAATTTTTTTCCATTGCACTTCCAAAGACTACTAATTTAGCTTCCAGGATTTTAGTTCTTAACCAAATAGAACTTACTTTGTCTCTATGCAACCATCTTGAGGACATATATATAATAAGTATTTAAATTATCTAACATTAAGAAGGTCGAAAAATTATAATAATATATTGCATGTTACGTGCAATAACACATGATTTGCTATTTATTCTTGTTTAGTATTAACAAATAATACTTCGCACTTCGGCTTTAGTGAAGACGATTAGGGCTCTTTCCATGGATTGCGTGTGGGTGAGGAAGGATGGAGAAGGCGAGGCGCTGCGCGTTCCTCTCCACGATTCGAAGCATCTGATGGTGGACAGCATTGCGGCACACTGGGGACTGGATGCCGCCACACTCCGTATAGGTCAGATCGCTCTCTTCAAGGACGCGAATGGGAATTCAGTGATGGCGGTGGAGCAAATCGCTCCCGATCCCAATGGCGATGGAGATGGCCAGTCCCAGCAGAGTCCCTTCGTCATCACGGGTAAGAGGAATCGGCCCTCCGAGGAAGAAGCAGAGGCGGCATTGGCCAAGACGAAGCTCGGGATTGGAATTGCGAGAGCTCGCGAGCAGCGGAAGAGAGCAGAGCACCTCATCGCTCTCTCCAAGCTGTGCCAGAAAGCGCTGTTCAAAGAGTTTTATGATGGATCAAGTATGTATTCGTACTCGATCAGAGACTTGGTTGGCAACCCGAGTGTGTTGCGAGAGGAAGTGGCCAATTTCGTCGGGACAGTACACATAACCAGCAAGGCAGAAGCTTCCAGCGTCAAGAATTGCAAGGGAATGGTGACACTTATCAGGCCAGATGGAAGCTGTATCACAGCTCTTCGATGCATCGACGAGATCCTTTGTGGTGGTCGCAAGGCAGAAGGAAAGGCGATCGTGGTGAGCTTTCCACGCATCAAAGGAGGAGTTTCCTATGAGTGCAAGGTTGGTGCTCGCCTTTCATCCTCGGTCGTGTGCCTGGAGCCGCAAGCCCATTGCTTGCAAGCTTTGGAAGGGTGTTTGAAAATGGAAGCAGGCAATCTTCCATTGTTCGAGCGGCTGTACACGTTCGGCAGTCATGAGCATATGAATCTTGTCAACGTCTTCTCCATCGATCCAGAAGCTTTTCTACCTGCGTCGGTTGTGCAAGACACAGGTGCTCCCGTGTTTGACGATGGTGGGATCTTGGCTGGCGTTGTCACGAGTACGTTCCTCGGGAGGCTTGGTAGAGGAGACACAGACAGGAAGCGCAAGCTGCAATCTTTTCATGGCAGACATCTTCAATGTCAAAAGACTGCAGACCTGGACAAGGTGTTTCACAGAGCAAAACTCCATTCTAATGCCTCGGAATGCATGCGCGAAGTCTTCCTATGTAAGATTTTCTCTCCCTTTTATTTCTGTTTGATTACCAAACGCACTTGCAGGCAAACAAGCTGCCATCCATCTGAACCGAGTCGTCCAGTTTGCTCCAGTGACCTGGAAGACACCCATTGATGAATGGAACGAGGCTCATCCCCTCGAAAGTGAGTAAATCTTAAAATGTGACATCTAAACCTCTTTTTCTTTTTCTTTCAGGTTTTGAGAAAGATCTCCCTCAAGATCCTCCTGCTTCTCAAGAACCTCCGAGGAGGAAGAACAGATCAGCACCAAGAAAATTAATATAGAGCAAGATATTACCTGGATATTCAGGAAATATTCCTTACAGTATTTAGATCTTCGAAAATATTAACGGTTTTGATTATAAAAGAGTGAAAGAAAAATGTGTGGACTATAACCCGTAAATGAAACTGATAGCTACCTTGAAAAATGAGTATAAATAAGATATATCACTATTGGGAATAAAGAAACCAAAGAAAATTAAACATTACTACACCGACTCAAAACTCGTGGCTTCATGCTCGTAGCCTGGTTCTTCAACAGGTTTTCTGGAAGTCCCCGGTTTCCTACCTCAGCTCTCAAAACGAGTTCTAGAGCGGTGGTTTCTCGAACAAGTTCCCTGCTCTGCCAGCGATTCCCGGCGGCCTCATCCTGTCCAAGTTCTACCAGGTGGACATCCGGCGCTCAAAATGGGCCAACATCGCCGTGGTTTTCAGCATGATCGTCATCTATAGGCTCTTCTTCTTCGCGATGATCAAAGCCGGCGAAGATCTGTGGCCGCGAGCCAGGAGACTCACTACCAGTCGCGCCTCTCTCTGGAGGATCAAGGCCATGGATCTCGTCACGAAGCTCTCGGAGATGCGGCGAAAGAGCAGCTCAATCGCCCACAGATCGAGCAGCGATGAATTTCTACCCCCGCCATCGCTGCTCTAAGAAGCAGCAACTGTAAGGGCTTCAGCTGAAGCGGATTATATTCCCTACCCACGTGGAAGGGCATAAAGCATAGAATCTAAAGGTGCCCCTTTTATGGCGGGCTTGCATTTCAAACACTGGCCAATAGGAGGAAATCTAGATAGGTTTTATACTACACGCTCTCTCCGCTTTAGGAGTGATCTAGCTTAGGGCATCCAAGCAGCGGCGATGAGCGCCATGGACAAGGGCGCCACGGCGATGAATGTGGACGAGCAGCCACATGTCCAGCACGGACCATCGCTCGTGGAGCAGCTCCAGGTAAGTGTCGATCGATCGATCGGGCGGCGCTTATTCCAGAAATCTCCCTGTGTGCAGCACTGTGGCATTTCCGCGGTGGATGTCAAGAAGCTCCGAGAGGCAGGGTTTTGTACCGTCGAAGCGGTGGCCTATTCGCCCAAGAAGGAGCTGCTCAAGATCAAAGGCATAAGCGAGGCTAAGGTCGACAAGATCACTGAAGCGGGTATGTACATTTTGGTTCTGTTTTGTTTTTTGTTTTTTTCTCATTGTTCTATGGAACTTGCGTAGCGACCAAGCTTGTTCCGATGGGATTCACAAGTGCGGCACAAATGCACGAGCAGCGATCCGAGATCATCCAAATAACATCGGGGTCCAAAGAACTCGATAAGATCCTGGAAGGGGGCATTGAGACGGGCTCCATAACGGAGATCTATGGAGAGTTTCGGACTGGAAAGACCCAGTTGTGTCACACGCTTTGTGTAACATGTCAGGTATGTATCTTCTTCATTTTCACTTCATGGATCACTGAGTTTTGTGTCTATGTAAAAGCTGCCATTAGATCAAGGAGGCGGTGAAGACAAAGCACTGTACATGATGCCGAAGGAACTTTCAGGCCACACAGATTGTTGCAAGTCGCCGAGAGGTTGGATCACGCTTTTCTTTCTTTTTCGTGATCTCGTATGATCGTTTGCTTTGCATAGATATGGGCTGAAGCAGATGTTTTGGTATTGCCTAGGCGAGAGCATACAACACTGATCATCAATCACATGAATCGAGGTAACCATTTTCCTTGATATGTTAAGCACTCCTCGCAGGTTTGTCTTGATGAGAGGCGACTGCTCTGTATCTGGCCGATTTTTCGACCTCTGCTACGTTCTTAAGAAGCCTACAGAAACTGGCAGACGAGGTAAGCTCTCGATTTCGTTTGCCTTCAAAATCTAGAGTAACATTTCGCTTTGCAGTTTGGAGTGGTGGTGGTCCTGTCTTGTTGTGGCACAAGTTGACGGGTCTGCCGTTGCAAGTGCAACATAATCGCCCATGCCTCCACAACAAGGTACACGGTTGTGTCTCACTTCATTCTAGCTCTATTCTCTACTAGCATTATGCAAGGGACAGCGGATATACAAGATCGTTTGCTCGTCATGCTTAGCAGAGCAAGAAGCTCGTTTCCAGATCGCTGGCGGCATCATTTGATGTCACAGATTAATGCGAGCGAGTTAGCATACTCTTTTTTCTTTTCTCCGTAGTTTTCTCAAGATCAAGCACGGTGAGTGCGTCCTGGAGATCGGGCCCTTGCGGAGATAAAAGCAGTTGATTGAGTGGGGTCTCGGACAGAGATCTTTAAAAGTCTAATCCTCTATCCTTTAATAAAACAAAGTTAAAAGCGCTAGGGTTTTAAGTTGCCGTTCTTTCAAAACTAGGATGGTCAGAAGAAGCAGTTCCTCAGCATGCTCGCTGCTGCGTCGGAAGAATCTTGACTATGAGAAATGAGGTGGACTTTAATAAGAGCCTTCAATCCGATGACTCCCGACTCTCTTGGATCAACTCTAGTGGTATGTTTTGGTTTGGTTTGGCTCTTATGATACTTACCTGTGTTGATTAAAGGGACTTGTGCATTATTCGCAAAGGGATACGCTGTTACAGCCCGGCATTGTGTTACCGATGAGGATCACAAAACTGAGGGGGGGCAACAAGTTTCAAACAACGGGGTCGAGGAAGCAGTTTCAAACAATGAAGAAGAGGTTTGGGTAGCTTATTTCCCTTGTTACAATTCGGCTGGGAAACCACTTCCTAGAGCTTTTAGATTTCACGTTGTTAAAGAAGATGCAGATTTAGATGTGGCCATCTTATACCTTGAAGGCTGCAACAACGCAGTTTACATGCAGCCAATCACAAATCTTATGCAAGACCAATTACTTGGCAAGAAGGTAAGGAAAAAAGCTATCTAGTAGAATTGATCTCTTTACTAACCTCCAGCTTACAAGGTTCACATCGCATCGTTCCTCCACCTTGTTGACCTGTCGTTCCAGCAGAATGGCGAAGATGCACTGCTCATCACAATTCCTCCGTTTATTTCATCGTTCGTTATCGCCAGTCCAAGTGCAGGATTTACTTTCCTCGGAGATTATTTTTGCCAGGCTAATGCATCCGGAGCGCCGATTTTCTTTTGCGATGGGATGGACTGCTGGCTGGTAGGTGTCCACACAGATAACTTTTATGGAAATATTGCAGAGAGATTGAAGCCCGAATTCCTGGACGTACCAGACAATCTACAAGATAGAACATCAAAATGCCAACTTCTGTATCCTTGGATAGTGGATAAGGTGAAGTGTTCCAGAGAGCTTGGAGTCTTTGCTCCAATAAAACGAGTGATCGCAAAGACAGGATTTCGCCTGCTCCAATAAAACGAGTGATTGCAAAGACAGGATTTCGCCTTTGACTTGTAACATCTTTGATATCAAATCATCTCCATTTTGAAGGAAGAAGTGAACATTTAGCTTAGATGAAGTGACGTGCCTTGTCGTGGTTGCTTGACGTGCTCCTTCATCTGGGAGAAGAACTCGAGCTCACCATCGCCCGGTTCACCTTTGTTTGGTTTTTTGCGAAATTGATAACTGCCTGTGCCAGAAAGTTGCTGGATATCATCGTCTGAAAAATGAAAAGTCTCTTACCTCGATTCAGCCATCATGGACGCCGCCTTCTCACGGCAGCCGTGACAGTGTAGTATGCCCATATCTATCAAGAAACCATCAAACAAATCACAGAAACGCTATCCACACCTTTCTTCGATTTGCAACAATCTCAAGAGTTGCTTCAGCATCTACGTAGAAAGCTTTGGCTTCACCTCTAAATGGCATTTTCGACGAAAACACAAGACTCAGTGATCCAAAAAGAAGAAGATAGAACCTGAAGTGTTCCGAAACTAAGATCCCAATGTATGTTTTATGTTTTCAATATCGAATGCTTTTTCCAACTTCGAAGAAGTGAGCTACGTTCTCCTCGGGCGTCCCAACCAACACTCCATGGCCAAGGTTTAGAATGTGCTTTCCTCGGCCAGCCTTGGCCACGGTGTCGATAACTCTTTGCCGGATAAAATCCTTGGAGCCAAACAAGGCGCCGGGGTCTATGTTGCCTTGCACCGCTACGTCCCTGCCTAATCTTTGCCTCGCCTCGGCCATGTCCACTGTCCAGTCCACGCTCACGATGTCCACTCCGGACGACCCCAGCCTCTCGAGGAGGCCGCCGCTGCCGCTGGCGTAGAGGATCAATGGTAGTGACGGGTGAGTTTTCTTCACCTCGGACACTATCTGCTTGAGATATGGCAGGCTGAATTGCTCGAAATCGATCGGGCTTAGGTGCGTGGCCCACGAGTCGAAGATTTGGACGGTTTGAGCTCCCTTGTCTGCCTGGTAACGCACGTAGATAATTATGGACTCGGCAAGTTTCTTGAGCAAAGCGTGTAAAATCTACAAAATGGAGAGTGAGTGGTAGAAGCAAACTTATCTTGGAGCTGTACACTACCTCAGGGCTGCCAAAGGCTAGTCTTTTTATCTTCGCGAAATGCTTGGATGAGCCTCCTTCTATGATATACGAGGCTAGTGTGAATGGTGCGCCAACAAAGCCCAGCACAGCAGCCTCATTGCCCACCTAAAGAGTTATCGATCAAAAAACCAAAAAGATCGAAGAAGGAAACCTTACTTCAGCTCTGAGAGAGGATAGAGCTTGTCCAACGTAAGGGACGGCCTCCTCGGGACAGAGCTCCGTAACTTCGTCTACATCGGCCATGGATGTGATCGGTTTGTGTATAACGGGTCCTTTCCCGGCTAGGATATCAAATGGAATGTTCATTCCCGTCAAGGGTGTCAAGATGTCCGAGAACAAAATCACCTGTGAGAAAGAAAGAAAGAGGTAAGCTCGTCAGTCTGCATGAGCTTGTAATCTCAAAGCAGCTGAGAAGAAAAGAAATACCAAATTGAAAACCTTACACCATCTGGCCTAAAAGCCTTCCATGGCTGGAGCGAGATCTCAATGGCAAGCTCCGCATTCTCTGATCGCTCTCTAAAAGAAGGATATTTGGCACAGAGGTCTTGATAAGACTGCATACACAAGAAAGAAATTCATCCACATATCATAAAGCTTCTCTCCAAGCACATACCTTCATATACCTCCCGGCTTGCCGCATCATCCACACGGGAGGCCTCTCGACGCTGTCGCCGCGCACTGCTCGTAGCAACAAAGGATCTGCGCCTGCCCGGAGCTCCTGCTGTGAATCTAAGCTCGAAATCCAGCTCAAATTTCAGCAAGAGGTCGCATCCGCCGCATGGGAGCTCGCTTACCCGTCGCTGTAGCCGCATCCGCCAAGACGGAGCACTGGATCCTCGACGGGCGCGAGGAATTCCATTGAACAGCGGCCGCGCCGGGCCTGCATTGCCCGACCAAGCATCCAGACGTCGTCGCCATGCCCTAGCTCCAAATCCAATCCAATAATCCCGAATATACTCCACGCAATCCAATAGTGCCATGTGGAAGGGTAAAGAATGTCCGATTGTAACGATTAATTTGATCGGAGCCCTAGGTCAAGGTTCCACAATGCGTACGGCTCCTTGTCCAGCCCGTCGGATGTCTAGAATGTGACACGATCTCCGCCGTCCGCGCTTCCCATTCTCTTGCGCGTGAAGAGGGGTTCGCCTAGCGCGCTCTAGGCGATGGACACATCGTGGAGCGGCAGTGCGCGAGGCGCCGAGTCGCCGGCTCTGCGGTGAGTGGAATTTCTTTGCTTTTGCTCCTTTTCCTCTAGGTCTTAGATTTCAGTGCTTCGGTTCCAGGGAATTTGGTAATCTCGGTTTTCTCCTAGCCTAAATGGTTTTCGGGAAGCAGAATAAGATGAAAGGTAAAAGAATGTAACCGATGAACGTTTTCTGGGCTCTCCAGTTTTTTGTGCTGACGCTGTCATTCATTGCTGATCGCGCAGGGGCCGCAGCTACTTACGTCCACGCTGGGAATGTCATCGTCGCCAAGGACCCAGTGCTTGAGTTCTTCCAGGCTCCCAAGCGAAAGTCGTCCGTGGTTCCCGAGTTTGAAAACGATGGTGATCTCATGCCGGTGACGGTGGAGCCGAGCCAGATGGGGCTCCATAACCAGGAAAGCATAGAAGTTTCAGGGAGCCGCAGCGACTTTTGCGAGAGCAGCACGTCCGGAAGAGGTGAAAAGAATTTGTCGAACGGGGATTTCTACGCCGGCTCCTTCGAAGGTGGGATTCCGGAGGGTGACGGCAAGTACTTGTGGTCGGATGGGTGTATGTACGAGGGGCAGTGGGGGAAGGGGAAGAAAACAGGGAGAGGGAAGATCTCTTGGCCGTCAGGGGCGACTTACGAGGGAGATTTCATGTGTGGTTACATGCATGGATCAGGAACTTTTACTGGGACCGATGGCACCACGTACAAAGGCAGCTGGAAGATGAACTTGAAGAATGGACTGGGACGGAAGCGTTATGCAAACGGTGATGTCTACGAGGGGTCTTGGAAGGATGGAGCTCAAGAAGGTCCCGGTCGGTATGTTTGGGCGAATGGAAACGAGTATATGGGAGACTGGAAAGGAGGTTTGATGTGCGGCAGGGGAGTTCTTACTTGGGCTTCTGGTGATTGTTACGACGGGCAGTGGCTGGATGGGCTGGAAAACGGGCACGGTGTGTATACTTGGTCGGACGGAACAGTCTACAATGGTAACTGGAGTAAAGGGCTGAAGGATGGCAAAGGAGTCTACTATCCGCCCGGCAGCTTTAGTGTAGATACTGCAGGTTTTGATAGGAATGCGACGGTAGGAAAACAGGTAGCGGCAACACGTAGGAACCGAGCTCCTTCTCTTGATTTCGATCAAGCAATCCGGCAACAGCATGATTTTGGTCCGATGAAGTCTTATTCGGCTGAGCAGACTACACTAGAGAAGGCATTACAGGCAGATTCTGCGGAGAGAATTTTTGATAGTGAAGAGTACCACGGTGCAGATCCAGTGGTGGAAAGAGAGTACGTTCAGGGTGTACTGATCAATGAAATCGTCAAGAAGGTACCGGCTAATGTTGCGAGCACACCGAAAAGTACGAAACGGCGTTATAAGAAGCATGTGAAAGAGATTAAAAGGCCAGGAGAAACAATTATCAAAGGACACAGGAGCTATGATCTTATGCTGAATTTGCAGCTGGGAATAAGGTACCATCTATCCTGAAGTTTCAGAGTTTTAATCGTGTTTGTACGTCGTGTTCAGGTATACTGTGGGAAAGATAACACCTGAGCCAAAGCATGATATTGAACCTTCAAACTTTGGGAGGAAAGCCAGATTCAGGATGAACTTTCCTCGTGCAGGGTCTCAACTTACGCCTTCGCACCAGTCAGTGGACTTCAA